CTGTGCTGCAAGGCTTTGATAAGAGTTCAGCGTTCTGATATAATGGAATAATAAATGTACCTGAAGCAGATCTTAATGGGTCAGGTGTATCTTACTTTCCCTTTGTGTATTGTCCTTGTAGCTGCCCATTTCCAAAACACTGGCCTTCATTTAGGTGTTTCTGTGAGCAGAAGGTCTGCACTGGTATGAGAGCATTGTACAAGAAGCCACTGCCAGCAGAAGTGTGGATGCAGCTGCAGCTCCTCCATCAGCTGTCCCAACACCACCCTGCCCAGAGGTCACAGCCTCTCTCCTGGGCAGCCTTTTTGAGTCTTTTCAGGGTGCAGAAATGTGGTGATTGTGGTGACAAACCCTCCTGGTTGGGTTGTCTCCTAAGGTAGAGACGAAGGTCTCAGTAGTAGGTGCCATCAGTGACTGCAGCTGTGGTGTCTGAATTAGTGCAGGCAAGAATCTTCTTTGATTCCCTGGAATCAGTGATGCAGAAATGTGGTGATTGTGGTGAACCCAACCTCCTGGTTGGGTTGTCTCCTAAGGTAGAGACGAAGGTCTCAGTAGTAGGTGCCATCAGTGACTGCAGCTGTGGTGTCTGAATTAGTGCAGGCAAGAATCTTCTTTGATTCCCTGGAATCAGTGGGACCTCAAACTGCTTTCCTGTTGCGGCTGATTGTGCATGTGCAATTCCATCTGCTCAAACAACATGACCACTGGTGTTTGCAGAATTTTTTCTTTGTCTTGCCTGTCCACTGAACAGGGCTCTTGCAGCGGGCACAGTGAGTGGACCTGCCTGTGGGGCTGCTTTTCCTCTGACATCCAGCTCCTGGAGGGTCCTAACTGCCCTGAGAACGGCAAGAGATTTAAGAGCTAACACAGTTCTGCAGCTTACAGCTCAAATTTAGACACAAGTGTGAGCATAAGTAGCAGTGGGAATGCATCCTTCATGGCCTGTTTGAAATGAGCCTTGGGAAAACACCAGTGGCAAGGTGTGCATTCATCCTGATCCCAGTTTGCTCTGGAGTTTCTCTGTGCAGTTTACACATTCATTCTCCATGTATGATAGAATGAGAGCAGTGTGAAATCACCCAAAAGACTGGGGATTGAAAGGCAAATTCAAGGCAACTTGAAAAAAAAAGTTGAATTCCTAATAACAAATTAGATTTTTGTAGTTTTCTTTTAATAGGAGGAAGCTTTGGAATTTGGAGTGAATTTAAAAAAGTCACATAAATTGAATTTGAAGGCACAATCCATTTTTTTCTCCCAGTTCAACTTTTAATTTTTATTTTAAAAAATTCCAAACATTTAAGCTTGTGGTTAGTTGGAGTTCCTGGCACTCCTGCCATTACACATGAATTACCCAGTCTGCTTTTTGTGGAAAATTCAGGTTTTGACTGTTCAGAGGTGAAAGAAAAATTTCAAGACTGAAATCAAGCAACTCTAGAGGACTAAAATGTGTGAAAAGGTCTTGGTTGAATAGAAAAATAAATCTCAAAGCAAAGCTAAGTGCTCTTGGAGACTTAAATATTCTTGTTACGACAAAGAGTTAATATAAAGACAAATTTTTTCTTTTCTGCTTTTTTTAATAGCAGTTCAGAAGTATAAATTTATTACTCTGTGCCAGAATAGCTGTAACAACTGCAGTTACAGTGATAATAAAAATACAACTTTTGATGGAGAGAAGAAATTAATTAAAATAAAATTTAATAATGTTTAACAATCTAATAGTCATAATAATGTATGTCTTCTGTACAATTCCTAGAATCCTTGAAGCTTATTATTACTTTGTCATCATGTTTAGTGGCAGTGACACTTAAAAATACTCATTTGTAACTTAACATTTGTTGTTACTAGACCCTCCTTCCAGCTGCTGGTCACTGCCAGCTCCTGTGGCCAGATTTTTCCCTCTGGATGTCAGCCTGTTGCTCATGGGCTGTGCTCAGACACTCATCCCTTTGGGATCCCACTCAGAGCCATTCTGTGGGGTGTTGGGACACTCCAGTGTTGGGACATTTCAGAAATGTGGGAATCAGAAAAACAGAAACTTCCACAGACACTGAAGAGTTTGATCTGCAGCCTTACAAGAAGCTTGGATTGATGTAAACATGCAATACACAGACATTAAATAGAAAAATGTTAAATTTATGTTTATATAGTTGTAAGCCAGAATATACCTTAAGTAAGTAAGAAACTGTATTGGCTAAGATGGTGAAGGGTCTATACTGTAGTAATGTGACTGTATAAAATAAGTTAAGAATTTAAAATTTGAAATAGAAGCATATGTGTATATGTGTGATAATAACTTAATGGGTAAAAATATCCACAGTGCAGCAGGAGTAAAGGTGATAGGTTATAAAAGCAAAATAAACCTTGTAGAGACTGTCCATTGGATTAGAAAGTTATATTTTGTCTTGTAACAAAGAACTTGTGACTACTCTTGAGCTATGGCCGCATACTTGCTCCTTTAAAATCTCACGGCCTCTGAGACCGATGTTTATCTGAGCAATAAATCATTCTTAGCCTGAAAATCGTCCCATCCTTTCATTACTAGTGGTGATAATGATACAGAGACTCTGACAGAATCTGGGAGAATCTGAAATGGAAGCAAAGATTGGGGTTGATCTGTGGAGGTGGCAGGGAGGAAGAACAGACCTTCCATAGGTGCTGGTGTGGTGAAGGCATGAAGAGGAAAAAGGGCAAAAATATTCAGAGGAAGACATGGGCAGAAAGAGGCAAGTTGGTGAGTGTCACGTAGAGTGCTCTCTGAGGAATGATTGACAAAGTTCCTCACACACTGTGCTGCTGCTGTCAGCTCATGAGTGGAACCCCAGTGCTAGCCCATGAAACCCCAGTGCTAGCCAAGAAACACCACTGCTAGCCCAAGATCATCCCTTCATGCAGAGTTGGCTCTTCACTCAGTTGCAGTTTTCAAAAGGCATCTCCCCTGCCCATGGGCATGCCTGTCAAAGGCACTTGGCTCACTCTGCATTTTAAGTGACATATTAATATTTGTTAATAGAAAGCGGCTTTTCCTGAAATGACAGACAGGAAAGAAAAACAAGAGGCCAGCCTAGGAGAGGACAGCATTGGCTACAAATGCCAGGAAGATGTACACCAATGGAAATTCTTGTTCTGGGAGTTAAATAACAGAGATGATGATCACACAGTTTCTTCAGTTGTATCCTAATAACTTTTTTTCCTACGTCACACATAAACCTCAATGGCACACTCCTTGTCAAAAATATAAAACAAGACACTGCCCTGATTGTAAAAATAGCATATTTTAGGGAACTGAAATGTTCTTCTGGGCAGCAGTCTCTGCCTGTGTGTCCCATCCCTGAGCACTTTCCGGCTCCCTACACCAGCAATCTGAAGGAATCTCTTTGGTTCTTCCCAATTAAAAGTGGCCTCCTAAAAATGGCACAAAGGAGATGGCAAGAGTAACTTTCCCTCAATTTCTCCACTGCCAAAACCCGTGCTACGGAAAATTTCAATATGAAGGTCTGGGTCAGGCACACAGAAAGCACAGACATGGAGAGCACATGTAGCAAGTCTTGAAGAACACCAGTTGCCTTTTTCATCTGGCAGGATTGGTGTGTCTGAGGCAGCCAGCAAAACCGAAAATTTTTGGGGGAAGATAATATTGCATTCCCAATTAGACACTGACTGATGCATCAGCATGTGGTAAATCAGCAGATACATGGTCTCATGTTTACTAGATGTCCTGAAGAACGAAATCTCTGTATTTTTTATTTTCTTGATGCTGTTAACATCCCTTAAAATTCTGACTTAATATCTCTTCAGTTTTTGATGTGTGTGATTTGAAACAGCTGTGTCTAAACTGTTTTGACATTAAATGAGAATGGTCTGGAAAATAAAAGACTTTTTTGTGTACAAATCAAAAACTACAGTTTAGCCAGATTCAGATTTTGCAAGGCTTTTGCTGAATCATTACAATCTGGTCCTGAAAAAGAAAGTGGTAATTACATAGCATGAGTAAAATGTAATTCTAGAAGAGTCTTGAAAAGCAGATAGGTGTGAACTTTAGAGCTGCTCACTATGAGACACTGAGCAAAGCAGACTTACTACCAAAGCATTAATACCTCCAATTTCCAATTCTCACCACTGATGGTGGTTTCATTACATTTAATCAAAACACTATTTAGGTCCTTAAAGGAATTTAGACATAACAGAGTGTGCAAATCTTGTAAACTCCCCTAAGTAGTGAGTAGTACAAATATAGCTCCTAAAAGCACTGTGAGGGAATTTAGAGATAGAATATTTATATTTATATTTATATTTATATTTATATTTATATTTATATTTATATTTATATTTATATTTATATTTATATTTTTATAGTTATATTTATAGTTATATTTGTATTGGTATTTATATTTATATTTATATTTCAAAGGGCTAAAGTAGTTTGAATACACCAGTGTTTTAAGTGAGCCCATAGTCTCTCAATAGTCATAAAAGATTAGCTTCTGTATTCTTGATTATCAGGACTTACAGTAGTTTACCATCATGATATGAATTCAGTTTACTTCAACTACCCTAATGTCAACAGCATGACATAAAATATTCCTCAGGGACAAAGACCGGATGTATTTTGCATATTGTACAAGTAATACTTGGAAGAAAAAGGAAAAAGTTGCACAAAATTATGATTATTATTATTAACTTTGGGCATATAAAATAGTGTCTGAATAAGCTTTCTTTCACATTCTCTCCTTTTTTAATTTTAGTCACCACAAACATGCATAGGAACAGCAGCTGCATAAATGAATCCTGTGCTTCTGGAAATCAGTAAACTTACATATGTAAATACATGGATTAAATGGAAATTTCAGGAGCTCAAGCACACATTTTAGCGCACACACACACACATGCACACATATGTCAGTATATATTTGTCTATAAATATACACATATATGTTTCAGTGCACATACATGTATATATCTATGTATGCAAGGTGCACTAATACCACTTCAATTTAAATTAAACATGCATATCAAGACTTACATTTATTTATTAGAAACTTGACCACTGTCCATCTATGTATACTTAGAAATAAATGAGTAATTGTAATTTTTAATCTTTATATTTTTACACAGTTAAAAACTTTCAAAATGCACTATATAAATACACTGAGGTAGCAGAGTACTTTAATGCCAAAAGCAATATGCCAGAAAACATAAAGTTTTCTGAGAATTTGGAAACAGAAAATTTGATACAGAATGAGTATCTTTAACTTCTTTCAGGGGCCATGAGAAGGAGAATTTCTGGCTCCAGGGGCTGGCTGGTTACACCTTCGAAGAGCACAAACTCCACCTAGTGATAAGTTTAGTGGTGAAATTTTAGAAACCAAACAATTCTAAAGCACAATCTCAGTTGTGTGGCAGGACTATAAAAATGAGAAATAAAGACTTAAGTTGATACATTTACTCTTTGAAAAAGTAAGAAGAAAACAAAGAAAGATGTACTAGAAATGTTTATAGAATTTTTTGCTACTCATCTGTTTATGAAAACTTTTCAGTAATAAAAAATCTTCACATTTTTATCATAAATATTGTGAACTTGTTAAAAACCCCTATAAGTTAATACACGTGCACATGTAAATTGTTTTATTTGTTCAATCTTTTTTATTAAAAATGAAGACATGTAGAAAAGACATTGGAATGGGTTCATATGTTCCTGCTTCTTGTTGAGCAAAGTGTGTGGACAAGATAAATGTACCAGTCCCTGAAACTGCTCAGACACACAGCAGTTCACAGTCCATTACAAAAACTTCTGTAGTGTTAGGTTTGAGGGTAATTCCCATTTTAAAGTAATATTTCTCACTAAATTAGTTCACCTTTAAAAAGAAATTGTTCTTACAGTAAATCTTACAGATTTCCCCTTAAAAAATAATTAAAGCTTATTTAAATTAATGAGGGTGCCATTTACTTTATGTCTCCTTTTCCACTTCACTCTTCTCAACAGTATCCAAGTAGAACAGAAACCACATGTGCATTCAGAAAAAATAAGAAAATATGTAAATATAATGGAGAAAAAAACCCTCATGTAAGGTTCACTGCAGAACCCAGGAGTAGCCCAGAGAAAAATAAAAGACACAAAAGGATACTAATTAATTCTGCCAAAGGATGACCCAAGCATCCAGGTTTTTAGTATGATTATGGTAGCACAGAGGAAGCCCTGTGAAAGAATCTGGACACCTGCCATACTTATAAGGACATGCAGATGAACCAACTCCTAGGATGAAATCAATTCTGGACACTTCTGAGCTATTATATAAAATTTAAGCAACTCTGAAACTAGAAAAATTGAAGGAAGAACAGGAAAGCAACCAGCCCAGTTGTGCCACCTTTCACCAGTTCACTGTGTGGTTGGGGATCACTGGGGGGTCACTGACCACCAGGGACCAGCAAAGGGACTTCTAGGACAGAAGAACATGTGTAAATAGGAGAGAAAATTTGTTAATGATTTCAGGGAAATTATTTATCATGTGTATGTTTATTCTGGGAAAATCAATGACTACGTATGTAAAATAAAGTATCTAAACAGGAGCTTTTTCTGTACTCAGCCTGCACAATATTTTGGAGGAGATATCCCCTTGAGCTTCTGGCTGAATAAAGAATTCCTGCTTCTTAATGCTACAGTGGTGTTAAGCAGTTTTTATTTGTACTGATTTTTGGCTCCTCCTGCGAAGTGTCCATCTGAAGAAAAGCCAGTCTGCCTGAGAAAAACATGAATATTTACTCCATGATGATCAGTCTGTCATACTGATGCCACAGCACCTCTGGTCGCATTATTTTCCTGTGAGAAAAGCTTCACTGGAGACTCGTTAAGGTGTGGATGTTCAGGGAACACGGGATTAGAATCCAAGGGAAACAAGAGTGAGGGTGTCCAGTTTTCACTGGGCCTGATTCAGTAGGAGGGAGGCCCATCAGTTTATGCCAAATTCAGCAGGAGCAAAGGTTTTCAGCACCTCAGAAATAAAAGCTCTCTCCCTGTCCCAGTTTGGCAGGATACTTCCATCCTTACACTGTTTCCACTGGGACTGCTGCCATGTGTGAAATTAGCCACATACTCAAGTAACTTCTTCCAGAATGGCGTACAACTTGAAAGTTTTACTGCTGTTTTTTCTATGTCAAAACAGAAAGAAACATGTATATTTCTGAGTGCCTTAAATATTCTTAACTAAGTTGTTAAACCAAGTAATATATCAGATATTATAATTTTGCAAGAGTGTCATGCTGAAAGTGATACTCTGTAGGCTGAAACAGAATAAAATTATTGAGCAAAAACCAAAACTGCCTGTATTCAACTTTTCACATAAAAAACTCCCATATTTTGCTTTAGAACATAAACAGGTAAGGCCACAGAACTCCAGCAAGGTGCTGATAAGTATATAATTTTGAACTATTAAAATTACCAATAAATACCAAGAAAATCATCTGCCTATTTAAAATTACAGCAATCCAATCAATCAAAAAAAAGCAGCCATCAACATCTTGTGTCATAACTGTTTTCAAGTAAAAATTGCACTGTATGCTTTAAGACTGTCACATTCCCATATATTATAACAGTGTTACAGCAACATGCAGGTATTAACTTTCATCCTTCTGTCCTGGTTAGTCACAGTTTCACTGGAATTCTCCAGTGTATGATTTTGATTTTCATCCTTACTGCCTTCATCAGTTAAATCTTCCTTTTCCTTTTCTTCACTCTGCAATGGCTTTTCAGAGCTGTCTTCCTTTCTGCTACATACATTCTTCTGGCTTGTCAGTGGCTTTCGCTTAAACAGGGAAAACTGGAGTGAAAAAAACAGGTAAATGATATGACTGAAACAGTTAGAAGTGAAATTCAAGATTAAAAAAAAAAACACAAACCCCTTTCTGTATACCAAGTTAAATGAGGTGGCAGATTTCTCCTTGGTAAAATAATTTTTTTTTCAAACCAAAATCACTAAAAAATGTTAACAAGAAACATTGGCAATATTTAAAATGTGTTAAATTAGCACATGGGAATCAGAAAAGTTAAAGTGATTGCATTTTGTCAATTTACACATTGTACAGTTTGTACAAAATGCTGTAAGTGGTGCTTTTATTTGGGTTTCCTTCAAATAAGAGCCTGAGGCAAGGTCCAAACATGAAGCCCCAGAACAGAAAGTGCTTACTATGCCTCCTGATAAACATGTGTACTGCCACAAATGACAGTGCTTGTGCTCAGTGAGACCACACTCGTGTCAAAGTTAACTACTGCTTAGGGCCTTTGGTCAACAGGAAACTCAGCAGCCTCTGCAGGAGCCTCTGGATCCTAAAACCTGCAAGAAATTCTGCATCAGGTACTCCTCAACATGCTCATGCACCTGTATAGAGAGATATATCTGATGACAAAATCAGTGTATGTTGCAAATAGATGCAGGGTCAATGAGCTCAGCTGCTGCTTTCAGAGACAAATAGGAGGGGAAATAATTTTTGATAATGTCCCATAGGAAACAAGTCCTAAGTTTTCACCTCACCCATTCATGATGTGATAAACAATCTCTCTCTCAGGGACATGCCATCCATGAAGAGGTCATAATGGGCTTTAACTCATTTCTGTTATTTGGAGAATTTAAAGTTATTTTATCAAAAAACAAAATCAAGTCTTAAACATACGGAACAGGTTGCTCAGCAGTTTAATAATCTGTGCAGATCATAGAAGTTGAGGTATTTGCTTTGGTAACTGCCCACTGGCTTCTTGGTCACTGGCAAAGCTAGAAAGAAACATCAGGCCACAAACCTTTTTTCTCCCCACAGTTTCTCCAGTTTTTTGGTCATCAGTGTTCTCTGAAGAATTGTTCACAGTGTGATTGTCAGTGCTTTCCTTCTCTACAACAATATAAATGCTTATATTAACTTCTGATTCATGCAAATCAGAAAAATATTACAGAAAAGCTGAAAAAAATTACTCTTCAGATCATTTTTGAAGCAGATGTCACTAAATAAAACTGAAAAGGCAATCAGAATATTCAGTAAAACTTGATGCCCAACCTGAAAAGAGTATTTTTATTTTTTAATCTCTGCATATAATGTCCTGATATTACTCTACAGATGCTCAATTTTTATGAACAGAACACTTACAGCAATATATATAAAATATTTTTACTTCACATTCACAGTTTCCTCTTGCTGACAGGAGACAATGTCTTGCACACTTATTTGCAAGTATATTCTAATTTGGCAAAGCTGATTTTAGGGCAGGAGTTATGGTTCAGCATGAATTTTACTCCATAGAAACAATTCTGGGAAAGGAAAAACTTTCCATCTCAGTTGATGTTCCTGTGTTTAAATTTTCCTATACTCCCTATATGAATCATATACATTTCAAACTTAATATCAAAACTTCCAGATCACTGGATAATGGAAAAATATTTAAGCATCCCTTCTGTACAAGCTATTTCCATTATAATATTGAAAATAAATGGCATAACTTCTTCATTATAAAGGCTGTGGTCTGTTTTATACTTCACTTATTATTTTCTTTGAAGAGAACCATTCTGGATTATTCCAAATTTCTAAAATAAAAGAAGTCCTATACATATAGGGCACCCAAATTCATGTTCCCCAGCTTTTCTAAAGGAATATTCAGTTCTCATAAACTGCCATCAAAACTTCAAGGAGCTTCTAGACTTATATCTTCAGCATCTTGAACAGTGTTCAGCAATTATCACATTTCACCTAAAATAACGTTTTGGTGAATAGAATGAGGAAATATCAGCTGAAAAAGATGGGGAAGAATTCTGAGAAGCTTCTTGATTGAAGGGAGGCACAGGGCACCTAAAGAAGTTGTCTGAGAGACAATAAAATCACCACGACTTTGGCACTGCACAGCCAGAACTGCTCTTAGCAGGATTTAGTCCTGCTAAGTCCTCATGGACTTCCTGCAACATGTGACTGGGAAAAGTATTTATTTCTTTCAAATCATTAACAATTAATAATGGGGTTTGCACCTCAAATTTCATTACCTCTCAAGAACTCCTTTGCCAAGGACTGTGTTATCCAGTATTTTTATAATATTGTTTAGAAAACTTTTATGTGTCTTTAGAATGTCCAATTCTTAGTAATTTTATTCTTACCCTGCTGAACGATGGTCTCTTTCTGAGCAGTCTCCTCTGTCTATAGACAAAAAAAAAAAGAAAAACAAAAAACAACCCTCTTTCAAAATTGCTTAAAAAAGAAAAGTTGTTTAACTATTAACACATACATGTGTTTCTCCCTCTACCAAAACCACCCCAAACAACAACTTGGCTTTTACAGGATAGGTACACATGTATCAAACTAAAGTTAGTTACAGAACCAAATTATTTCAGAGACCAGAAACTTAATAGGAGTAAATGCCTTTTACCTCTCCAGTTTCCACAGTGCTACTGCTACTGCTTGTCTCTCCCTCAGGTGATTTACGATCCTTTTCTTTGTCATTTTTTTCCTCTTTTTCCTCTTTTTTCTCTCTTCCTTCTTTTGTTTCATCTCCTTCTGTTTCTTCTTTTCCTTCTATTTCTTCTACTTCTTCTATTTCTTCTACTTCTTCTATTTCTTCTATTTCTTCTTCTTCCTCATCATCATCTATTTCCTCATTTCCAGACAAGTTGTATTCCTTGGACAAAATTGCCAAAACATAATTTTGAAACTCAAGGTGTACAATGATCATGATGCTCACCCCACACCAGTTCATCACACAACAGTATTTGACTAAGAACAAGAAAACTCAAAAGGGAGTGTTCTAAGGAGACAGAACAGGAGACTTCAATCAAAGTTTGCTAATTTTATTATGTTTTTTAAAAAGTGACCTCCAGGGAACATTAGGAGTGCAGCTGACTTATGCTTTGCCAACATGTGACTCCTTAAAGAAAAAGCAATGGAAATAACTTATTTTAAATGTTTGAAATGAGCATAATTGACACAAACAGTAATAATTCCAACACTGAAAAAAAATTTCAAATCTATTTCTCAAGAAAATTAATGAAGAAATGCCAGATACAAAGCTTTGATTCATGTGATTCAATACAGACATTATAATTTGAATTTAAGTTATTTTCATCCCAAGATAAAACATCAATATAGTAAAAATAAAATGGCCAAGGGCATTATAAAATAAATATTTAAAAGCATGAATGCTATTTTTGTAAAATATATAGAAAATGAATCAATTATATCCTTGTTACTCCTGTCATTATTAGGCCAGTATGTACTTGTAACAGCATAAAATACAATATTTAAATAAGAAGCATTCTCCTTCCCACTGCAGAAATATAAGAGCCTAAACCAAGGGCTTCCAAGGACAACTCAAGTGAAGGCACATCACTGCCCAGAGGAGAACATTTCTGTTGCACTGCAGCCAGTGTCACAGTGGAAACTGGTGAGCAGTATCTGCACACCCTTTGGGAAGTGTGGTAGAGCAAAGAGTCTTACAGTGAATTTCTTCCTACAGCTGGCTCCTAATGTTGTCTCCCACCTGTAGTTAATGTTTTCCCTATTCTCTCTTACTTCTTTGGATTTCTGCCTGTTGTCTCCCCAGCTGCTCTCTTGGTCATTAGAAGGTATCTTGCTGGTGAGGAGAAAACCACCAGTGAATGTTTCTCCAAGCTTGAACACAGAAACCTTTGGTTAAGCCCATCACATATCCCAGGAATCTGAGACATCCTTACAGGGGACTTATGGAGACCTGCATCATTCTGGAGCCCAGCTCACAGCCTACAGCACCTCAAATCACACTAGATTTATTTTAGCAACTGAGCCATGCTCCTCATCCAAAATAAAAAAGGTGGAGGAGAGAGACATTCTTTTTACTCCAAGGATGCCACCTGGTTAACTGAACAGCTTCCCAGACTGACCCCATTTCCATTTACTGCAGCTTTTCACAGGTGTCTCTGGCTGTCACCTCATCTAAAAAAATTTAGATGAGGTGACATAAAATGGCAAATTTTGCATCATAACTCTGATAGCACAGTTCTGTTACTGGTACTTTTGCTTGCCCATTTACAGGCACATTTTGGAGATTTTACCAATGGTAGGGAATGATCTGAGAATGTCATACTACCGATATGCTTTTATCTTAAAGGATGAATCATCTGAACATTCAAACTTATACCTGAAGAATTTAATAATCTAAGAATCTAGGCTACTAATTAAAGTACATATATATATGTTGTATGCATATATTATATATACACCTATAATCTCTTCATTATTCTCTTTCATCATGCTTTAGGGCGTTTATTTTCTTTTTTCACTCTAAATTACTTTTTCATAGAAAGATAATGCTGGAAGAATACCTTCAATACCTCTAAAGCTGAGACAGAGAGAAGCTGTCTGGGCCAAGGTCATGCACAGAAAGTCAAAAGTAGTAGAGAGCATACAAGTGAAATATTTCAAAGTGGTTTCATTTAGGCTTGAGGTTCCAGTTTCTTCAAGGACAAAACCATGGTTGTTACTATGAAACAGCCTTAAACATTTTGTACCTATAGTATAATAAATCAGTACAGCAGAACAGCAATCTAGAAAATATAACCTTGCAGATTTAACACAAGGCATAGATTTTTGTGGAGCTGTCTTTGCTGATTTATTTTCATGCATTTATTCTGGTTTTCCTGTAAATACAGACCTTCATAACTAGACATTCTTAAACATAAATTTGCTTTTCCAAGCTTATGTGGACAAATGACTTTACTTGCATAGGTTTGGGTAAAAAGTATCGCCTTAGTGGATTATAACTCAGTGTGTATAATTGTCTTCTGCTATAATGGCTGCAGCTGGCTTTTCTTTGGGCAGATTAATACAAAATAAAGACATTTCTTTTCAGAATGCTCCATAAAAATGTGGTCCTATGTCTACAGGAGGGAGGGGAAAAAACTACACTCTGCTCTGTACTGTTGTCTCACCTGGTGCCCTGCTCTGGCTAAAAGTCTCACTGAAGATTGAAACACATCTCATAGTAGACCTTGCTCAAACAACAGCTGCTAATTAAGTTTCTCTGTATTTCTGTAATTGTTTCATTGTGGACCCCTCCTGCTTAGTTTATGGAAACAGCTCTGGCAGATGGGCTGCTCATAATTAGCGTTTCAGAAGGGAAGGCTTATGGTATCTTTCCACATCTCCTCAAGAAGTCAAAATAATGTTTGCCATGACCATTTTATATTTTTAGAGAAGAAAATATCAAAGCCATTGATAGGACAATTTTAGTTGCAGATCTTTTAAAAATCTGGTGAAAACTCAGTGATGAAGAGAAAGCTGTAATTACTATATGTACCACTTGAAGCGGAGAGTTCTAGGAAGCTCTGGTTTACAGAGATGTTTCTGTTTCCAGTTGCCTTGGAAACTGTTAAAAATCCACAGAGAAGGTTATTAAAGAGAGCTGAGAATGAGGTAGGTAGCTACATGTCTGTTGCTGTGTGGTGTTCTGCCAAGCAGCCATAAACCAGCAATAGCAAAAGTAGCAATTAGTAGTTTTTAATCATTTAAGGAACAGATTTCTCCATTACCTGCCCAGCTCATTAGCTTGACATGCCCAAAAGCATTCCCATGACCTTTTTACATGTCTACAGGATTAATGAATGGTATAAATACCAAAGAGGATTTTCCCTCTGAAGCAGAAGACTCTGAGTAGGTGGGTGTTAGGTCCAAGGAGGTTGGGCAGTGGGCATAACACTTCACATGGGCCTGAACTTTCTGGAGCACTAGTGAAGACAAATACAAAACACATTCTACAGACTATCTTCTTGCTTTGATGCAGGATTGAAGAAGAATAGGTAGAGGAATCTTATCCTATGCTAGCTGTAATTCTGCTTTCCAGAAACCTGGTGCACATCCATGTCACTCCTGAACTGTCCATGCTGGGAAAATGCTCTGGGTCAACATTTTACTAAAACAGCAATGAAAGTAACAGTACCAACCCTGATCTTAGGTACAGATGAGTGAAAAAAAAAGCACAAAACAAGCAACTCAGTTTACCATTTGTGGGTTGGAGGTACATGGATGGGTGGACATGTAACATTTTCTTGATACTGATCAGGGTGTCAAGGCATCTGATGTGAAGTGACTGGAAATACTGCCGGACAAAACTGCTGGAAAAACTAGCATTCATACTGTGTTGTTTCTTACTAAGCAGTTCCAGAGACAGCTTAACACCTTAAAGTCCACACAGTGTTAGCCACTTGTCATCAGGTATTTGAACTGGCTTTCATTTTGTAGCTATTAATATAGAGGAGTTATTAACTTAGTTACTCTAAGCCTTAGAGAAATATCCCTTACTTTAATGATTATTAAAGAAATCTGTCCAGTTTAAAGACTGACAAAATTCAGACATGAGTACTCAAATGAGAGATTTAGCAGCTTATCCTTCCACTTACAAGCAATAAGGCAGCCAAACTAAGCTTGTCACAGAGACAAACAGAAAAGCTCAGCTAAATACACTTAGAAGAGTTTCCTGCAAAAAGCTGAGCCTGCCACCATAACTTGTCTAAACCTAACACCAAGTTTTTTACTAGGTTACTAGTTTTCAAATTACACAATTTTATGTTAAGAGCACTTATCATGATACTTATTAAATTCCCTTAATGCAGCTGTTGTGTGAGTGTCCTGGAAAATGAAGGCAATGCTGCACTTGTAATTTCAGGCACACTGTGCAGTGAAACCACTGGAAACCAGTTTTGTGTCAGAGAGGAGTTTCCACTGTTAAATGTCAAAAACTGAACTTTAAAGATAGTTATACCTTCTTGTAAATATGATGGAAGAAAACATATTGAGGTAGCAGCTGTCCTGTAGTGATACACTGATTACCCTGGACATGTGGTGACTAATTAACACAACAGTGCCCTCCAGGGATGGCATCACTCTGGGATAAAATAGTGAATACACAGCTGAAAATGATGCTGGTAGAGACTGACTGAACAGATTCATTTTCTATTAAGTTTTTTTCAGCCCACACTTTGCTACCCAACATATTTTATTTACTAAAAGCCGAGCACAACAACCTACAAGTCTCCACAGACCTGTGCACTTGTGTCACAGGCTGGCAGTGCACATACTTTGCATTAAGAGGATTAATCAGATTACATTCATTAACCAAGGCTTTAGGTGTCATCCTGAGACTGCACACTGGCATTGGTTACACAGAGTAGCCAGTAATTTTTGAGGGCATCCTCCTAAAGATTATTTCAATTGGCTTTGGTGTTATTATTCTGTGGTTTGCCAGCTTGCTGCTGTAGGTGCACCTGGAGAAAGATGTATTTCTGCATTCTTCTGTGAATAAAAATAACTACTTGCTAATGTATGAAATTGTAATTTAAAACAATATTCTGAAGAAGTATTTGTACTTTCAGTTTGCACTAGAAATTTAAACAGAGTTATTTAAAGTTTTATCCTCCCAGCAACTCAAAAGATATTTTTTGTTTATTCCCCAAGATAAATCAACACCTGAAATAGCCCAGATGTACTACAACTTTTATATACAAAACAGTTACCTTCTCATAAAAGTTTTCTTTCTTTGGACAACAAACAGAAAATATAAATTTCCAAGCAAAAAGGGGGAAAAAACTTCTATAGAACTAGAAAGAATTTTTAAGGTGTTTTGTGAAAACCATAAAACAAGTTAGAGACTGTTTACATCAACTACAATCTCTTATGAAGTATTTTACACACTAACATAAGTAGCCTGCAATATTCAGTCACACAGAAATAGCATACCAAAATAACTCCTGGGTACTTGAGCAAAACAGGAGAAATATAATGAGCAACTGCAGAATATGTCGGTGTTATCTGAAAAACTTACTGTGTCTCTGGAAGATATTATGCTGTATAAAATGAATTCTTAATGCTAACAGACACAGAGAAAAAAAATTACTTGGGAATATTGGCCCACACTTGGATGCAGATTGTGCATATTTTCCAAATCCTTATAGAAAAAAATTGTAGTGTCTGGAGTTTGTCATGGAGCTTCCACATATTTGCAAGTGAATGAGGACAGTCACTCCTGCTTTTATTGTGCACAGCTTAGATGCTGCATTGTCTCTCCCAAATCCTGTACTTTTCATTAAAATCCTGCTGTAATCATGCTGGGTTTTATTCAGTGCACTGATAAAAATATTGGTAAAGGCAAATTTTTGCCAAAGCACCAAAGCAGGCAGGCAGGTTTTTTGAGATTCTCTGACTTTGTACATTTCCCAAAGAGCTGGTCCAAGAGTCACTGCTAAAACCTGCACACACTGCAAGACTGGGTCCCAGGGAAGAGCCCCCACTTCAAAATACTCTGATGCAAAAGTGACAATTTTTACACAACCATCACAAATCTTTAAACCCATTCTCATTTCATAGATTTTTCAAGGCACACCCAACTCAGTAATGCAAGTGCCACCAGCTTCCCCATGGAATTGTTCTCCACATCCTGCCAGCACTTGTGGAAGTTCTCCCTCAGCCACTGCAAGGCTGGCTTTAAAGCACAGCTTGACTTCTTTCTGTACCCTTGATACAGGACACGTTCAGGTTTGCTTTGCTCTTTTTCTCCACACAGATGATAATGAAGTGCCTTGCAAAAGAGGTTAAATTTTGCAGCAGTTCTGCTGCTGTGTTTCTAATTATGAAAGTAGTTTTGTGCCTTGGATAGATGCTGGATAGAATGAAAGTGAAGTATTTTATACTTCCTGTAAGAAAGCCAGGCTCTGCCAGGGTGGCTCACAAGCTCCTTTTGGGTTGGTATTTATTGCTCACTTTCCAGTCAAACAGCACAGGCTCTTGTATTAACAACAGTACACAGGGAGGGTTGAAATCTTATTCTTCAATACTACGGTGATCTATATCCTTACAAAAAATCTGCAGATAAAGGCTTTGTTTAATATAAATTTTTTCTTAGAGCCACCTTTGTTTCTCTCTCTTACACTCTCCATATGACAGCACAAATACTTTAAATTTAAATTTAAATTTAAATTTGTATGAAAGGTGTGCCAGTCATGACAAATTATAAGGCTCTAAATCCACACCATTGAATCTGGGACACTCCAGCAGACAGCCCTGCAACCCATCACAGACCAAAAGATTTTTCAATGCCAGAGAAATAAGAAAACCAGAATAGTAAATATTTTTACACCAGACATTTCAGGGCCCTGGTAAGAATTATTTTCATAACTAAGCATGGGGGTTTGAGATAACAGTACTAATATTTGTTTAAATTATTCTAACATAGGTTGACAAGCAAAAAAACATCGAGCACTATCACAAATCCTTAAAAAAAGAGAGCGATTAAATGTACTTGCTGCTTCTTTTGGCAACAGAAAAATAAAACTTCTGTTGCTGTCTGCAATGCAATTTTTTGATGCCAAAGCTGTCTCTCCCAAATCCTTTCAATATTCTTTCAATCCTCTTCTGTCTCCATTAAAACATAAATAAGTGTATAAGAATGTTACAGCTCAGTCAGTTGAGAGACTTTGGATCCCAAACATGCTCAGAACCTTACTGAGCACAATACCATGGGTTTGCCATTTCTGCAAGCTAAGAATGTGCTCAGCTGCTCATAGAATGCCACAATACTAAACTGTCACTTCCACAATTAGAGGAAAAATTACCCTTTCATCTATGTTGCCCTTTTTTGGCCTTTTTACAGGTCCTTATTGTTATATGAGAGATAGGATCTAAAAGGTAGTGTCATCATGGGAGAAAATAAGCTAAAATTTATATTAAAATATACCTAAAGGTAAGAAAAACTAGGAGGGGAAAAAACTAAAGAGCAATGAAAACAGAAACTAGATGTCCTTTCTGCATAATTCTGAAAGGCCCTATTCTAAAGAATATCCATACAGTCATCCACATGAAACTGGAACAAAAAATAATGAGTGAAACCTAGACACTTTTTGCAGCTTGGAGAAGGACATTTTTGTTATTCAGCATCAATCATGCCAAGTGATCTAATATCTGAATAAATGGTTTGATCTGTTCAGCTATAATGGAAAAACTTATCTGCTGAAATTTTGCAGACACAAGGGAAGAGCTGTGCTACAGAATATTCCAAGGTCACCCAGAGCACCCTGACCTCTAAGCAGAGCTGTGAGGCAGCAGCAGACCTGCACCCAACCCTCTGAAAGTGCCAGAGGTGTTTGAGTTGCATACCCACTGTAAAAGGCAGCACCTTTTACAGTGGCAACACCTGTAATTCTGTGAATGTCTGTGAGACTGTGCAGGGGATTAACACTTCTGAGATGAGCTGCAGGGGATGCCTAGAAATTTCCATGTGCTTATTAACACTTTGAGGATGTCCAGTGTTGCTGTCAACTGTTGTGTTGCTGCTCTTGAATTAAACATGTAGGTGGTTGATTGCTGGTTAACTGGAATTAATAAATCAATTAACCACTTATTCTTGACTTAAACCACAGAACTGAACACTTTTTCATGTGATAATTATTAGGGAATAAATAATGAAGAGGGAATAAGTGCTCTTTTTTCTAGCACAAGAATACAAAGACATCAAATGATGCAAATAAAAAAAGATGAGTTACTTCTCCAAACAATGTGTAAAGAAATCTAAGAATTATTTTCCAAAACATATTAAACAGGTTAAAAATTGATTGAAAGAAATGAATGTGAAGAAAATGGATGTTAAATTTAATACATGTATCTGCTAAACTACAAATTATAATGAATTATTACAGGGGTAAATAAATGCTACATGTTTGTGCTATTCTAATATTCTAATTCATTTTTTTCCCAGGCACTCACCAGTAGCCACTGGTAGAAAAAAGATGGATAGATTTTTGGTCTGGGCAATTGTCTGTTGTTTTCTCTCTCTAACACAGGATTTCTTTTCTCTGTTAAAAACTAACTTAGGACTATTTCTGCCATGTTTCTTCAGTACTGCACATAAATCTCTTTGTTTGCCATAATAAATACCAAGGATATACTGAATTTTCACAAAACCACAAGTAGCAAACTTCATAAACCAGAATGAGTCAAACTAAATAAAATTCCACTCATTATGCTAATGGAGTTCCAAAGTCCCCTCAAAGCCCAGAAATGCTGGCACAGAGCACAATTTATATAATGAGTCTGTGGAAAACCCTTAGAAGTGCTGGAGTAAAGCTCTGCTTTTCCCCCACCACAGGAATGATCCACAAAACTGCATAAAATCTGTTCTCAAATCAATGAATTTTAATCTAGACAAAACAAAGAAGAGGAGATGCCCATAAGCTGGCTTCCTTCACTCTCTTGGAAAGCTTTCTTCTAACAGCATATGTTAAGAGAGAAACAAAAAATAGTCCTCATTTTCCTAAGAATTTACATTAAATGCTGGAACCAAAGAGTAAATGAAGGGCCATTCCTATGTGGAATTGAAAATCACTTGCTTTAAAATGGTCTCTTTTTTCTCTCTCTCTAGGAAAAAAATTCACTAGAAATAACAGCGTTGTTTTGTTTTTCACAGCCCAGTTTTCTTCCAATGATGAATTCTAGAACCACAAAGAAGTACATGTCATATCCAAGAAACCCAGTTTTTGGCCTATAAAAATACTTTTCAATACTACTAAACTTTCTAAGTTTAATCACAGTAACATCCTAATCTTTCCCAAGAAAGATAAAATAACATATCACAGCTCCACTTAATTTCAAAGGGAAGTGTTTTCAGAGGAGTTCAGTGATAGCACAGCACACTGGCAAAATATCCAATGACTCCATCATTAGAGAGAGCTCGGGAAGGGCATCTAACTGTTTAAATATTCTCTAACAGAATATCAGGATACTTACCCTGCTCCAAAGACACATGCTGATGTCAAGACAATGTGTTCCAGAGAATTCCAAAGTTTGAAACAAGGGATGAAATACAGCCACTGGGGTAACTTTTTGCTGTATTTAGGCACAGCACATGACTGAGGTGATCTTACCTTCAGATGCAGCATAAGGAAGGGGTGAGTGAGGCAGGAAGGTTGGACCTAGACTAGGATTTACTGTCAAACTACTGATCCACTACAGGCTTTTTAGAAAATAAATTCTGGAGACATCGTGTCAAAGATTGTTTAATGCCAGCATCTTACAAAACAATATTAAAATGTTTCATAATATCAACATAAGTATTGATTCCATTCATGTTTTTATTGAATGACATTTACTCATTTTGATTCCTTTCTTCTTCTGTCCTCATTTTCAAGTAGGGCTTAAACAACTATTTTTCTAGAGAATGTCAATACTGAGATCTGTTTGCAAAAATTTCCCAGACCACCCATTGGCATAATATTCAAGTAACAATGCTGCATGATGAGTGCCTGCCTCTTCATTTACCAGTTCAGTCCCTAATGGTTGAAAGAGTGATGCATTATCTTACAAAAATAATTTGCAAGATTTGTTTGTGTATTTTCAGGAAATTCTAAAAGTATTAACTTTATCCTATCAAAAAAAAAAAAAATCAGACTTTCTTACCACTTTCTTTACTATTCCAACTGGTTTACCTCTTTTTGGAGATTACAGATAGGGTTTTTTAAAACCATAAATCTTCTCCAATGAGGAGAAGCTTTGGCTCTGATCCTGGAAACAATACATGTATTTCACACAGCAACAACATATATTCTCCCTCCTGGAGTACCTCAGAGTTAGAGGACTAATGTGATATAATCTTTTGTGGGCAGATATAGAATCTTTTGTGTATTGCACAGTATAAACAAATATAAAATGTTTTACAGGTATGTGTTTCAAATTCTCAGTTCTATCCAATCACCAAGTGTGAAATTCAAAAAATTATCCCTGAATTCTAATGTAATCTAGGCCAGATGCTGAGATCTGTGTTTCTCTTCTTGCACAGAATTGTGTGCTGACACCAAAATAAGAAGTCAGCCTTAAGGCCCTTGGAAAGTCCCAGGCCATTGCATTTCCATTTACCTCCCATCCGCTGATCCACGTAAATTTGGCAACATGTCCTTTCTTTAATTTAGCTATTTGAACATTTTACCAATGTATGAGCAGAATAAAAGTAGGGGGAATAAATTATGGAGTGATGTGGAAAAGGTTTTACAGTGACTTGTGTGAGCCAGAGAGAAGTTTGATCAGAGGATCCATGTTTACCCCTGAAAGAATTTTCTACCAAGGTTGTTGACATAGAAACCAAGAAAGAAAGAAGGAAAAATAAGAGAAACCAGCAACTGCCTATTCCAATAAGCACTTTGTTTGTCTTTCCTGACCAATGAGTAAAGTGTAAACTTAGGAGTTTTGTAAGAATGTATAAAAAGCATGCCCGCTATAATAAAAACAGGTTTGAAGCCTTCTGAAAATGAAGTGTGTTTCTTTGTATTGTCGCAATTACAACAGAGTGATACCAAAATTTTAAAATAGGTATCTTTGCTAATTTACTGAAACTCCCTTCAGGTAAGGCACATTATCAAGTAAACTGCCCTGCAACTAAAATTGGTGTGTTGCTGATTCAAAGGCAAAGATTACACTGTTACAATGCATAATTGATTTGTCAGCACGACATTACACTTGGATTAAGAGGCAAACACAGTTTACCTCCTCAGCAATTAATTTTTGTGTATTTTAAGGAAATTCTATAACAGATCATATATCATACATGATCCACATGATTGTGAAGATGATTGTATCAATAAAGTATGATGTCTCTCATAAAAGTATCCTAATCTAAACATTTTTTTCAGTCTTTTTCAAGAAATTGGCACTTAAATTATATGCATAATAGTATGCTTTGATTCCATGAAAAGTTTCTTTCAAGTAATAAAAATCAATCTGTTTCCTGAATAGGCTAAAAATTCATCTGCAGTAGTCTATGCTACTTTAGTGTTAAATAATGAGGTAGCACATTGTTCCAAAATTGTTCTGGATTATGTAAACCATTTGCTACATGACGTTTGGATTTCATGTTTTGTTTAGAGCTGTTTGGTAAAGCAGTACTTTCTGTCTTTTCTGGCTTCCTGGGTTTGCTTTTCTTTTCTGGAAGTTTACTACTATAATTTTTCCTTTTATCTTTTGCTTTTTCCTCTTCTTCTTCCTCCTCATCCTCATCTTCTCCCTCATCCTCTTCTTCCTCCTCTCCTAAATCCCCTTCCTCCTCATTTCCTTTTTCCCCCTCTTCCTCTTCACCTTCTCCCTCCTCTCCCTCTTCCCCTTCTTCTTCCTCCTCACCCTCTTCCCCTTTTTCTTCTTCCTCCTCTTCCTCCTCTTCCTCTTCTTCCTCTTCCTCCTCACCCTCTTGCCCCTTTTCTTCTTTCCCCCGCTCTTCTTCTTCCTCCTCACCTTCTTCCCCATCTTCCTCTTCTTCTTCTTCATCTTCACCCTCTTCCTCTTTTTCCTCTTCCTCTTCTTCCCCTTCTCCTTCATCTTCTTCTTCTCCTTCTTCCTGTCCTGCCTCTTCCCCCTCCTCTACCTCTTCTCCCCCTTTTCTTCTTTCCCCTGCTCTTCTTCCTCCTCACCTTCTTCCCCATCTTCCTCCTCTTCTTCTTCATCTTCACCCTCTTCCTCTTTTTCCTCTTCCTCCTCACCTTCTTCCTCTTTTTCCTCTTCCTCCTCTTCCCCTTCTCCTTCATCTTCTTCTTCTCCTTCTTCCTGTCCTGCCTCTTCCCCCTCCTCTACCTCTTCTTCTTCCTGTCCTGTTTCCTCATCTCCCCTTTCTTCCACTCCTTCCTCATCTTCCTCATCTTCCTCTTCTTCTTCCATCCCCTCTTCTCCCTCATCTTCTCCAACACTCTCTTCTTCCTCTCCTACTCCTTCATCTTCTTCCACTCCTTCTCCCTCTTCTTCATCTTCCCCTTTCTCCTCATTTTCCCTCTCCTCTTCTTCCTTGTCATCGTCTTCTCCCTCGTCCCCTTCTGCTTCTGCATCTGTTCCTTCCTCTTTCTCATCTCCTCTTTCCTCTTCCACATCATCCTTCCCATCTTTTCCTTCTTCCACTCCATCCTCACCCACTTCCTTAGTTTTTGTATTTGCATTTTCCTCAACATGCTCTTCTTCAGACACCTCTTCTTCCCTCCCTGCCAATGATTCTCCCAACTCCTCCTCTTCACCCTCTTTATCTTTTTCATTCTCCCTTTCTTTTTCCTCTTCATCTTCCTTTTCATCTCCTTCCTCTTCTGCTTCTACCTCTTTTTCTTCCCCTTCCTCTGTATCTTCCCCTCCTTCCTCACTCACATCTTTTCCCTCACTTTTAACCTCCTCTTTTCCTTTTTCAGTGCCTTCCTCTTTCTCATACTTCTCCTCCATATCCTCCTTTTCTCCCTCACTCACCATTTCTTCTTCCTCCATCAACCTGCCTTGCTCATCTCTTTGCTCTTTGCTATCTTGCTGCTCCTCAGTCTCCTCTGCACCTTCATTCCCACTGTCTCTTTCAGTCTGTGATTCTTCTTGTTCATCTTCTTCCTCATTATCTTTTCCCTCATCTTTTTCTACTGAAACTTCATCTCTGTCTTTTTTAACCTCACTTTCTTCTTCCCCTAGTTTACCTTCACTGTCAATTGTTTCATCCAATTTTTCTTTTTCACCCTTTTCACTGCTTTCATTCTCCTGCTCCTGATCAGATTCCTCCTCATTCTTAATTTCTAATGGCCTGTCTTCAACAGGTTTAGCATCAGAGCTTGTTTCTTCCTCATTCAGGCTTTTTACATCAGTCTGTTCTACACGTTCTTTCTCATTGTTTGTAGCTTGCATCTCCTCAATCTCACTGTATTTTTCTAAGTCCAGATGTGTCACTGTCCTCCTTGCCCTCTGGACAGCTCTGTGTTCATAGTAAGCCTCTTCCTTAAGTATATATTTTTGGAGATCATTAGTACTTTCCTCAGTTGAAGATGATGATGATGATGAAGTTACAGATACTTGTTTCAAAAACTGATGCTTTTTTTTAAGCTTCTGTTCTGCACTACTTTCTTGTCCTGTGACATTTATCAGTTCACACTTGTCAGATTTTTCAACACCATCCTTTAGTTTGCTTTGACTGTCTGTTGTTTTTTGACTCCCTTGCTTTTTAACAGGACGGTATTCTTGTACAGTTAATGAATCAGTCTGGGGCTGATCCCTGGGAGCAGAAGGAAGTACCTCTATTTTAAGGGATCGCTTAGATTTAACAGCTTTTGGCTTTTTATTGGAAGAATTTATTTTTTCAGTCAGAATTTGATTTTCAGTGGGAAGATTATATGTTGCATCCTCTCTGAAAAATTCAGGATTTTCCACACATTCTTTTTCCCTTTTCACTAATATGCTTTTGTCCTCAGTAATTTCTTGAGCACCACTTTTCAAAGTACTATCACTTTGTGCATGCTCAGATTTACCTTTCTTAATAGTTTTTCTGGACACAGGCTTTCCTGCAAAGGCACTACTCTTTTCTAAATCTTGTCCAGTTGACTCTGAGAGCGAAGAGTGATTTTGTAAAGAGACAGACTCTAATTTTGAGCCCTCCTTTGTGAAATCAGAATCCTTGTTTTTCAGCCCACCCTTACCATCTCTTTTCAGTTTCACATTTTTATTGTTCTTCTATTCCACATGAGAAGCAGAAAATTAAAAAGAAAGAAAAAAAGCATTAAAGACAAATGGCAGCGAAAGAAAAAGGTTACAAAAGCATCTGAACAAGAAAACAATTTGTGAGAGAGGATTAAAAGACAGCATAAAAGGCAGAATATTTCACATGAAATGAATTTACAAGTGCACATATTAGAAGAATGTAACACCCTGGTAGTGCTACACCTTTCTCTCTATCCAAGGAAATGCAGTAGGAATTGTGCAGCCAGTGCCACAGCCCATACACCAGAGCAGGGGCAATGTATGAGGCTGTGCAAGCAGAAGGAAATTCATACAGTTCTCTTACACTTCCTCCTGTGGAAACCTTCTGATGCACTCACTGTTACACCCCCTAAAAGTTGAAGTTTTAAAATCTGTTGTCTTTTTGCTTTAAATTTTACATTTATTTAACAAATTCTGAATAATAACTTTAAAAATCTAAAATAAAATTTTAAGGAAATATAACAAAGTGCTGAAAAGCTGGGATCACTTTAGGAGTGAAATAGAAAGTACTACAAAGTACTTTAATTTCATAATTAAGGCCAGTATTGTTGCTTCTTTAAATATACTTCATGGTGAATATCTGTAAATAAAATATTTACACAGTGTCCCAAAATATTTTCTTAGTAACAAACCAGTAGAAATGTAGGTTATTACATGAAGTTACGAGGTGTATATGATAGTTTCTTGCTTCTTAAACTGGTGAAATATTCCACACTCATCTCAAACTGCACTGGGTATGTGGAGCTCTAGGTTGCTGTCCAAATTCTCTCTGCCTTCATGAAGCTTCTTAGAATTTTAGGTCATGGATATTCAGAAAATTACCAAGAGGAGGTCTATAAAATTTACCTGACTTTTTAAAAACTCAAAGCAAAATAATGGACAATACAAGAATTGCAATAATGGACTAGGACAATACAAGAACTGCAGATTTTTAAACATCTGTATCAATATAAAAATATGTAATTAGTTACAGTACCTTCTGTTTTTGGAGTGGTGATAATTTTAAGGACCAGTCACCAGGATTCAACTTCATTGCATGTGTCTGCAAAAAATAGAATCTCTATTAAGAAAATAAATATATTTAATGCAGAAAGGAGCATCAAAGCCCAGTTTTACTAAACAGAACTAGTTTATGAACATTTTAATATTATTGCATAGTCAGGCTGAGACAAACCTGTATGATCATTCAGCTCACCTGTTTCACTTCCACTCCATCCTTTACTGCTTATAAAGAGCATGGAGAACAAATGTCAACACCTAAACTGTCTGTAGAGACTGAACACTACACTACCTTTCTTAGAGCCCACAGGCACATTTGAGATCCACCTTCCACTCCCTGTGATGTTGCAAATAGAACCTTACTCCACTATCATCACAAACTTAACTCAACATCCAGTTTGGCACCACAGCCTTGAAAGAACATCTTTAAAGAAACATTGCACAGCAGAATTTTTCCTTGGAATCTAATGCCTTCATCTCTTCCACATAAAGCAAGAAACCAAAAGACAACATAGAATACTACTAAGTGGGAATATATACTGAATTTTTGCTCATCCCTTGCCATATATTCCAAATGACATTATAATAATATTGTCTGCTGCTGATTATTAACTGCTGATGGTTTAACTATATTCTTTTTCAAGACAGTGAGCATGGAGAGTTCTGGTTTCAGACTCCCAATAATTTGTATCATCAGTAGAACATTAAAGGTTTTTCCTCCTCCTGTCACATGTGTCAATAAGATGTATGTTGCCGCAGTCTAGAAAAACTGAAAAAAACTATGCTGTAGCAGATTGTTTTCATTCAGATCCAAGAAGAGCAACCATTTATCTTGTATTTTGACAAGTTTGCCTGATAGGCTTTTTTTTCAAATTTATGTTTAAATTTTTTTTAAATGCTTTAAATTTGATTCAGGATAGGTATAAAACTGAAAAGGAGAAGGAAGTCTACCACACAACGTGTGCAGTATGTAAATTATGCTTCACTAAATTAATGGAGGCCATGCTGTGCATTGGATCTGATCACATTTTTTTCTTGTAAATCAAAATGAAGTCTTATAATGTTAAATAAATGGCATGGACAAACACACTATTAAATTACTAAGTACTTTTAAATGCAAACAAATAATAATTCCTGTAGATGTTCAATCCTTTCAGCATAACTGTGGCTGCATTAAGGCCAGGACATGTCCCTTCCGCTGAGAGAACAAAATGTTTTGGAAAGTTGAAAGCTGTACAACTGATAAGGTGAACATGTTTTTTAAATAAATGAAATATGTAGGAACAAGCTGGGGGATCACCAAATAATCAAAATGTCTGGATTTTGGCCTTCCCTTTAATATGATCCACCTGTATTAAAAAACCTCTTCTCAAAACAGGAAAAGATGCTCTTCTGCTTCATTTCCTGCAATTGTCTGTTGGAAATCATCAAGAAAAGCAAGGTCAGAGATAGAGATCACCATGAGGCCTTCAGCATCCTTTTCCTTTCCTTTCTGATTTCCAGAGCTAAAGCGTGGGGAGGCACTGCACTATTTGGACCACTTCAATCCCACATCACAATACTGCTTTGAAAATTAAAACATATTTTAGCATTGGGTAATGATGATACAAAATGCATGCTCATCTAACAGAGTGTCAGTAGATGTCTGTCACATGTGATGTTCTGATAGGAATTCTGCAATGGAACCTGAAACACAATTCAGATGCTTTGTCTCCCCCTGCAAAAAATTACTGAACTACAAATCCATTACTGGAATATATTACCATATTTAGGATGTCAGTTGTATCCCCAAGGTTTCTGTCAAGATTTTCATTATCTGAATCTTCTTCTGAAGAGACTTCACTAGGTTTATCTTTTTGATGATTATTTTCTACAAGGTAAAATAGCGGCAAATAAACAAATGTCATAGGAACAAGCACTGTACAGCAAACAGAACACCATACTCTTATAAAACAGAGATTATTCCTATTTTAGTAACTTAGAACTGAAGTCCTCAGATTCTTCATTCCCCCAGCCCAGGACACAGCAAAACCACTTCCATCTCCTTTCATCATTAACAACAGAGGGAGCTCAGCAATCTGGTCTCAGTGCACTGTAGATCTCTGACCATTTCTGCAGGCTTTCAAAGCCTAAATATTACCTGGGACAAAGATTCTTTTGGACAATCTCCTTAATAATAGTGTAAAAATTAGACCAAAGTAGCTGCAGTCGTGTTATCTCCATTGCACATTATCCATGTAATGGATGGGGAGACAGTGAGTTGAATTCAGCATTATAAAAATGTCCCTACATCATTAAACTCATCAGGTCTATGACCATTTTGTACAGCACAAAACCTGAGGTTTTAGGTCTAAGAAAACTCTAAAGGAAATTCAAATTTCACTGCATTGCTTTCCTGGAACCAGAAATGCTAATGGACATGCTGGCAGACTTAAAAATAATCATCTTCATTCTATGAATGAATTACTTTCAAATTAGATTTGGCTGTCCAGTAAATCTGAATTAACAATTACAGAGAAGCTCTGCATCCTGCACTCTTCAGCATTGCTCTTTCTAGGAAATCACACAGGCCCAGGATGCCAGACAAGTCCAGAACTCCTCTAGAGAATCTGTGCCAAAGTCCAGTGCTGTGTTATGGTTATCCAGACTTTTCCATCAGGTAGAATATTATAAATCCTTATTATCTTAGATAACAAAGAGTGAAGAGTACTTCTGCATTTCCCAGGGAAGAAGAAAGGTCCTGTAAAAATTAGTAGACCTATTTTCTTATGTTTTCTTATCTAAGTTCCTTGTAGGCTTACCTATGTCCTTAACACTCCTCCTAACGATTTTTTTCCCTGTAATTCCTTTTTTTGTTTGTGAAAACAAAGTAGTTAATGTTTTTACAGTATTTTTTTGAATCTTATTTCTAAAGGTAACTACAGGTACAATTTATAAATTGGGGTTTTTTTTCACTCAAGTCTCCTCTTAATCTTTAAATTTGTTTTTCAAACATGAAGAGGGTGAGGCAATTTTTGTCTGCATTTCTCTGCTTTCACGCCTGTATGCTGCCAGACTGAACCTGAACCTTCTTTCAGGTTCAAACTGCACATGTGTTTATGAATGATGAGAGTCAAACCATTCCTATCAGAAAACAGCAGCAAGATGTGGGGACACTTCACCTTTCTCATGGTTTCCATCCCTCCCAGATTCAGCTTTAGGATGACTTGTTGCAGAAAACCAGAATGGGCTGGTGTTGCTTGCCACAGGCAATGAAGATTTTAAGAAGCCTTTCCCCATTGCAGGCAGAGTTTGTGCCATTCGAGCAAACTGCTCTGGTGACCTTTCCTTTAGAAGATTGAAAACCAATAAATTGAGAAAAGGGGTAGAAGAACAAAATGCAAGCATTCTCTCATCCTTATGAGCGGTATTTGCTGTTAGCTTGGGATACAGTGTTGCAACATAATAAGCAGAAACAATATCTTTAAAAATTTTAATTATTAATAGTCCTAGAAAGTGGGCAGATATATAGTGGGATTTTTAAGATCATTTCTATGCAATGATTTCAAACAATCCTAAAATATGAGCAAAGGAGAAAAAGAACCTTTTCTTTTTATCCAAAATGAAGAACTAAACTCTCAAATAACATTAAGGTATTTAATCCACAACATCAATATATTTTTATAGAATAAATTCAGGTTTTGATAGAGCTAGTTCTCAGACAGGTAAGTGAAATGATCCAATTCATTGTGCTGTTTAAGGCAATCATATGGAATGTGTAGTGGAGATAAAAGAGCAGAAAGTAATATTTTAAGTAGCTACATCTAATATTCTCCTTTGATATTTTATGAACTATGAAATTGTTTGATATATTCAAGGATTCAGAGAGAACAGCAAAAGAGTCAGGTTCTTCCTATTTTTTAAAAAAAATATTTCTAAGATTAAAAAATGCAAAGGAACAGGTTCTGCATTTTAGAACAAAAAAAAATCACAAACCCAATTTTAATCTCTTTCACAGAAATAATTAAGCAAAATCTGACCAATACCTACTTGTTTTTCTCCTGCATCAATTTTTGGGACCAGGGTAAATGCCTGTTTTTCATGTTATATATTAACATTAAACCCTTAGTTTAAAAAGATATATTTAACTGCTTGGCATATGCTGTGATTTTAGCTATGAAAGTGATTTTGATTCCTGAAAGAAACATTGCAACTCTAAATATCTCTGAGCTTACCCTCTCTCGACGTCGCATTCGTGCTGCTGATAACTGTAAAGTGTTTGCCAGTACAAAGTCCCGTCTGGTTTGAGAGGTAGCAGCAGTCAAACGAGGCTCATATAAATCTTCCAAGGGGATTTCAGATCCTTTAGGTCTTGGAGCAGCAAAAACCAGCATGTGACAACCCCCACAAGCAACCTACAGCTCAAAAAAAGATCTGATTACTTCATTTGCAAATATCAAGGATGCACTTTTCTTACAATCATCTCTAGGGATTTAGATGATAAGAAAGAAAAGTAGTAGAAGTAAGACACAGCAAATGGCTTCAAATTTAGTTCCCAAATACACCAACAAAATAAAAATACTTAATCACATTTATTAACAACTAGTGATCTATGTTCACTTCTTCTTACTTAAATACAATCTATTTGTACTGAACAGAACAAAAGACAGGACTATCACATTTTTTATATAAAAGATAGCAAAGATATTTCCACTGATTTTCAAGAGACTTTAGCTATTTATTTTGATACAAGTCACTTGAGAGCAATACTGATACTTTCAAACCTAAATGTTTCATCACAAAATCAGCAAAATGTAAAATAAATTCAACACTTTCCAGCAGACACAATATTATTATATAAGGATCAGAGCTTTCACTTTTTAAAAGGTTTAAAACACTCACTGCTTCCAATAAAACTTCCTTCACCTCTAATTCCAGTACACAAACAGAAGTGATCAATAGATTTTGCTGCAAATTTTGTTCAGTCCTGAGTCGTGTTAATATTTTTGATGATGACAATTCTCTGACATTTCCACACCTCAAGAAGCAGATGAAAAAAACTTCCCTTACACAATTCTCTAAAAAAAAGACTATTGCTTTCTTGTCCAGTTTGGATTTAAAAAAATCCCTCAAATTTTCTTGAGGTTTAAAAATATCCCACTGTACAAAAATTGTCAAATTGAAAAGATTACTCTCTGGTGTTTACAGAAAAGATAAAAAGTTCCCCATACTTCCAACCATCCAAGAGTAATAAATAATTCAGTTTATAAGCTACCACAGCTCTGAAGACCAAAACACCATAGTACAAGAGTACTGAATAAAACCCTAAAGAGCAATCTGAATGTGTAGCCCAAGTCAAAGACATTCTAAACTAAATTAACACTGTGCTAAGCATATATATTTTCCTCCTTCCTTCAGTTTATGTTGTCTACTAATTAAATGTTATAGAAAGAAATAATTCTATAATGATATTTCAGCTCTCATTAATAATGTGTTTCATAAAAAGATAAATATTATGATGTCTGAGAGAAATGAACAAAGGTTTTACCAAAAGGACTGTGAACTTCAAGAAATTGTAACACAGAGTGGGATCAAACAGATTTGTAAAACTCTCTTCTCCAAATCCTAACTTGCCATGTCGTCCATCTCCAAAAGTAAACATCAGGCCATTCTCTGCATATGGGAATAAAAAGGATGTCAAAACAAAGATTCAATAGAAAACCAGGACAGAACCATTACAAAGTAACAGGCTGTGAAAGTAAGAAATATTTCCCTTCCAAGAGCAAAATCTGAACAATTATTTTTTACATCTTCAACAGATTAATATTATTTAAAAATATGCATGTTTTCAAAGTGCTGTCTGAGATGTTGGTCCAGACAATTTGTAAAAAAAACTATCCCAACAAAATAATAAGATTTAAACTATACAGAAAACAAGACTATTCTAAACAAGAATATTTGTTAGCAAGGCATAGTTAGGTTATAATTCCCCAGGAGATACAGAGTTATGCATGGCATGGCTGTGAGTCAGAAATTCCTGTTGAATTCACCTTTCTCACTGGCTCATTTCACCTTTAGAACCAGTAATGGATATGTCTGCTACTGCACAATGTATAAGGAAAGCTTTTACAGCATGAGAGAGTTGCTAGAAGTGGTTCCAGAATTTTGCACTCCCATACCTGCTACCACAGCAGTGTGATTTTCCCCACATGCAATGTTACAAATTTTATGCCTCTTCAAGCGTTTCACAGGCTTCGGTACTGAACTTTCAAACACAAAAGTTCCATGTCCCAGCTGCCCATACTGTCCAAGTCCAAAAGTATAAACATCTGTCTCTGAAATTATACAGGCAAAGTTAACAACAAATATGCTGCTACGTATATTTATTTATTTATTTATTTATATAACAACCTAAATTTTATTCACCAAATGAAAGGCCACTGACATAAACATAATTTAAAAATTTTAATCAATTAAAAATGTGCCAAATAATCAATTACATTTATCAATTATTAATATACAACAAAATTTAAAACAAACAGGAATTGAAGCACTACAGTATACACAGGAAAGAATTTTAAATGGTTCAATGTGTGATATATTTTCTAACATAAATGCAAAATAATCCACTGATCACACGTACATAAACCAAAGTTAAAAAAATGCATGGGAATTTACATACTGCAATCAATTCAAGACTACCATGTTTATACATTTATATGCATTTTCACAATAGCCTCATCTTAATTACTCATTAGCTCCATGAACACTGTAGGGCCCCAAATATAATAGACAAGACCTCATAATTTGTATGTAGAAGAGACTGGAACAGAGTAGGTTTCAGTATTCTGTTCAGCTACCAAATCAGCCCTGCAATAAATACAGAGAACACTATAATTGTGTTATCTTGTGACAGAATAATCATCTTTCCACATTTATATCTTGTCTGTTTAATGGACTGTGTGTGCCAGGAAAAAGAATGAGAGCTTCTCCAAAGTAATAAAGAATCTTGGTGTGTCCATCCCTGGCACTCCATCACTACAGGGGAAGATTGTGAAGCTTGGAAATCTTGATGAGGTCATGCTTGAACAGAGAAGCTTTTTGGGAAAAAAGGAGAAGTTTTCCTAGAATTTAAGTTTCTTCCCCTTTTTCTTTTGCATGTAGGCAACAAAGGAATAGTGAGAGAAATTCTACTCAAAGCACTTGAAAAACTATTATGGAAAAATGAAAAAGATTATGAATTGACAAAAAATATTCCATGTTAAGTTAAAAGAACTTTCCAATTTCAAAGGAACTGTGGTGAAATAGTAACACTACCTATGGAAATGTTCTTTCTAGGAAAGTCTTTTCCTTTCTGTTCCTTATAAATTGATCCATAATAAGATGTCATGAATTCACACCATAAAAAAAAAAAGCCCAATGGTCTCACATTTTTTATACATTGTAGATGAAAAGTATTGAGCACCTGGTTTTTTTACTAAAGGTAATCGTAAAGCTCCCTCTGCTGGAAATTTTAGTGCAAGAAAGTAAAACCTCTCGGGAGCTTTTTAAAGTAAAAGAAGCAGTTAGAAGTTTCCTGCACTATTTAGACTCCCTGGATAAGAATCAAGAAACTACACCTGAAAGACAGGAGCTTTCTCTAAGCAAAGAAAAGTCTCATCTTTATTTCAGTAAACTGCTTTCTCAGGATGGCTGATTCAAAAATTCTGTTTAGAAGTACTGCATTTGTTTTAACAGTTCTTTGGAAACTGGCAGATATTTTAACTGCATGGCTTTATTTGATTAACATAATTACTCTGAATGAACTAGTCTTTTTCTTTAATCCTAGCATGAAACATGCAAAGTCTTTTGCATTTGTGTTGAGAGGGAGATATTCTCAAATGTTAACTTTAAAAGTGCAGGGAATTTTTTCTTTCCTGTGTTCCTACTGAAAATGAGGGAAAAGGCTAATCCCAAGCCAGGTAAGAGTGCCTTATATGATGAAGAATTTCTTCTGCTGCCCTTATAGACCAGTGGTACCTAAATGTTGCTCCTCCTAAATTTGCTTCTTAGTGAATTATCAGGGTAGAGGAAGAAAAAAATCTTGAACCTTTCTTAAATGATTCACCACTCTGGTGCAGAAGTCAGGTCACACCTCACCAATAACCCCCTTTAGTAGAAATTAGATATTTCCTCCCATCTGTCTTTATAAATGCATGGAAAAAGAAGAGTATGGAAAAGCAAGCTCACACACTTCTTGATAAAATGACAGGGGTGAATTTCATCATTCTGAACACAGCAGCAGCAGCCCATGAGAGGCCCTTGAAGGATAAAGAGAAATGTTTTCAGAAGACAATGGCTTTGCTCTTCCAAGTGACCTCCAGCACTTGAGTGCTGGAAGAGCTGCTTCTTTACTTCCTATTTCCCTTTTTGGAAGAAAGGGGATATCTTCCTGTAGCTGTGTTATCTTCCATCTTCGCAGGCATCTTTTGTAAACTCTGTGATCATTTGCACTATCAAAAAAGCAGTCTTAGGCAAAAAGCTATATAGGTTTCATATTATTTTTTACAACATGCTATTTGCTGACAGAACTGTATGAGCTCAAGGAATGTTTTTCAGAATCATGCATTCCCTGCTATGTATCTAAGGCTACAGATGAAGTTAAAAGACCACAGAGCTAAAAAGGAAGCAGACAGGTAAGCTTATATCATAGAAATATAGAATGGTTTGGCTTGGAAGAGACCTTATAGATCATCTGGTTCCAGCCTCTTGCAATGGGCAGGGATACTTTCAACTAGACCAGGGTGCTCCCATCCAGTCTGGCCTTGAACACAGCCAGGGATGGAACATCCACCACTTCTCTGGGAAACCTGTGCCAGGGTCTCAATACTCTCACAGTAAAGAATTTCCCCCTAATATCAAACCTAAACCTATTCTCTGTCAGTTTGAAGCCATTCCCCCTTGTCCTGTCACTCCAGGCTCTTGTAAATAGTCCCTCCCCATTATTTCTTGTAGGCTCTGCTCAAGGACTGGAAGACTGCCATTAGATCAGCCCAGAACCTTCTCTTTTCCAGGCAGAACAACCCCAATTCTCTCAGCCTTTCCTCATAGGGGAAGTGCTGCATCCTTCTAATCATCCCAGTGGCCTGTCCACATAAATCCATTCCCCTTGAACATTACCATTATTATTATTGTTACTACTATAACTATTATGCCAATGAACTATTCACTCTCACAACAGCTTTATTTTTAAACAGCTTATGCTGAAAAATGTTACTGCAAAAAATCAACTGTCAACACAATGTTCAGTATTCAGAATTAGTAACTGGATTTTCAGCATAAATAGTATACAGACTTAAGAATGGTTCGAAAAATCTAATAATCCTATAAGGTCTAAATTGTGCGTTCTGACAGGAAAAGGTAGAGTTTTTACATCCTTTTTGTCCTCTTTCAAAAGGGTGTCTTGGCTTTCTTTTCTTTTTAAAAGACCTTGAGACAGAAGATGAAAAATCCAACATTTTACATACTAATGCACTAATGTTCTTATGTCAAACATTCTATTCTCAAAGGTCTGCTTCACTTTTTCCTTTGAAGAAAGATCTTTGCTTTCCTTCCTTTCAGAGAATGAAAGGAAGTAATATATCCTTCTATAGAAAAAAATATTCCCAGAGGATCTGTCCTCATCTGAAAAAAACTGCAAGATATTAAGGCCACTCCAAATAATCCATTTCTTCTTTTGCAATTTCTAGATTCAGCTTCATTATTTTTCTACCTGTTAAAACACCTTATTGAAAAAAGCCCACAAATTGGGATTGCTGCTCTCCCATATTTCATTTGAAAGCGATGACACCAACAGCTTTCATTTGCAGCAGGAAGTACATGCAAGCACTGGGGGAAGTCGGTGCAATTTTTTCAGTTTCAGAGAGAATGAATCTGAGATGAGGACAGGCTCTTCTCAGACTGGCAGACTGACTGCCATGAAATGAAAAGCTTTGTGCTCTCAAGATTTTGCACTATAGAATTTTTAAATGCAATTCTGTTTATTGTCTAGAACAATTGCAAATATTAAAGGCAGAGGCAACAATAGAGCTTGGAAAGACGATGGTTTCCAATACCACACTCAACATTTCTAAAACAAATATTTTTAAAATTGGGCTTTTTCCTAAATTATTGCTCTCAACAATTTAATTCTTGTTCTCTGGGAAAAATAATTGAGTTTCTCATTTTAGAATTTCAGAGGAAAAAAGCCCAAATAATTATTTTAATATATACTTTCTACCTTTTACTCTGGAGATTTCAAGCAGTACCTTGATTTAATAACCCAGATAACAGTGGTTCTCACCACACAAAATTGCCAATAGAATAGACAACAGTCATAAAAAAGAAATCTTATGAAGTGCTTTGGAATAGACTAATTACACATGAGAGTCAGGAAGAAACTTTCCTTATACTCTGTAAGATAACTGAATTACGCTTTCTTCTAATTTGATAAACTCTAAGTAGAAATGATGTCAAGAAATGAGCCAACATGAGAAACAGTTTTTCCATATGACATTTTCTCTTCTGCTTTTGCTATGCTAAGTAAGATAGATGAAGCAGGGGAATATTCAATAGTCACACACTCAATTTTTGTTTCCTGAGACTGAAATGTCACGTCCTTAAAAACTGAAAAGACTCTGAAAGGATGAAAACTACACCAGCATATATTGTGTTACTAAAGGTAAGCAGCACTCATTTTCATGGAGGATGAAACTTGAAATTCAGAGTTTCTTCAAAATTGTATTACTTTCTTAATTTATGAAAATGAGCTTAAAAGAGGTATAAATGTTTCTGCCCCTCTTTAAAGATATCTCATCAGAATTCTCAGTTTTTGGTCACACACTTCACCTCAAGATGTAATTTAGGACCAATTTCAAGAAAGTGAAGTTTCTGGTGCAAAGCCATAAATGTATGTATGTCACAGTCCCTTAAAATTTTTAGTATCCGTATCTACCTCTTTTCACAACTTTTTGCTCAAATTTTGCTCTGAGTCAGAAAATATTCTCGATGTTAACACTTCTGACTAAGTATCTTTTGAGACAGTATTGCCACTATTCTCCACTGTTTCATTCGAAGTGTCTTAGTCAGAAGTTCACATTTGTCACCTATTTAATAACAGCTGAATCACATTAAAAAACATCTATCTGATTTTTCACTCTTATCACAACTATTAATCTTCAGGAAATGTATTTTTTTGGAGGATATAGTTTTCTTCTTTTTGTGACTCAACTAGGTCCTCTGGCACTCAACACTTTGATCATCAACTGCCAGCTCAGCCAGCATTGAATTTCTTATTTACTTCTACTAAAGAATTTATTTCCATAAGCAAGTAAATCTTACATATATGCATACTTATTACAGTATTTTCTTCACTGCATTTTTTCTATGGCATTTATATTTCCCTCTTTATTCTAGCTCTTGTACAGATTTCACTGTAATGATGATGGCATCCAGGTCTGAATCTTTCTTCTAAATCTCTATAACAGTCATTGGTTATAGTTATTTTTTTATCACATGAAACACTATTAAGTCAAAATATCTACTGGCTGAATTCAGATTTATGGTTAAAAAAATAATCAATGATGATAATCAAATTCTTTCTACAAAACTCCACTTGATAACACGTAAAGCAATGCTATGATTTATGCATTTGTTGGTCCCAAATTTATGGCTGTTTTTTCACTAATAATGATAATCTGATTTCACATAAAGAAATTTATTTTGTAACATAGAATACTGCCAGGGAAAGACTGTATCTTGGTGGAAGGAGGAGACAAAGGCATTGAAATGTAGATAAATGTTTATATTACTTCCTGGATTAGCTAGTGCTATTTGCTCTTTATAGTTTTCCCGAAGGAATTTTAACCTATCCAGAATCTTGCAGCTTGACTCACTACACATCATCTTTCCCAGCATTTCACTTCCACCTTTACTCTTTCCAATGGTTCGCAGTACAACACAACATCTATTACTCACAATCTCCCTCAGTTAGATTTTCAGTTTATATTTTAGAAAATTTGGCTACATAACCTTGAATGCACACCACAAGATTGTCTAGAGACAACCACAGAGAACCTTCAGAATACAGATTTAAGGGCTGATACCTATACATCCAACTTGGTTTTACAGCTTTTCCATTTTGGCAGAAAAAAATCACAGGCTATATAGTTTTACACATTCTATTCATTACAAACTAAAGCTGATATTTTTTAAACTATCTTCAGGCAAAGTCAAACTTACCTTTCCTGCTTCTACACCACTCTAGATCAGGATAGAATTTGTGGAAATAAATGGCTGGCACTGCTTTCCATGTATGCCTTGGAAAAGCTAAGTCACCACTGCACATAACTATTTAACAGTTCAGTAATACACAGCATTTTCCAAGTGCTATATATATGGCCCTGTGAATTAATATGTAACATTTGTATTTGCTGATTTCCAAACCTGCACAATATGTCAAATGTATATGTCTGTACTGGTTTAATATTTATGCTGAAGATTCTGCTTAAAGGCACAAGCAAATTCTGTATCACAATAAGAGATATTTAATCCATTCAGGCATGCAGTAGAGAGTGAAGCTACTGTAAAAGTGACTTCCTACATACCTTCCTAAATATTCAAGAGCATTTAAATTTACTACAGAATGGAAGCTTTCCTCTAGAATTTCCCTCTCACTGCAATAACAATTTCAAGCTCCTTAGAGGAAAGAAACATCAATCATCTGTGTTGCACCAGGTGGTGCTGGCTTATTACAATTCCAGTAAGAAACGCACTCAGACTATGTAAAGTTCTCTTAAAATGATATTTATTGGAGCTAAAACTATAAAGAAAAAAAAGAATCAATAACCTTCTGTCCATTCAGAGGCTGGGAGTCCTGAGCTGTGTGGGATTGAAAAAGATCCCAGCATGCTGAGCAGATACTATCCATGGAAGGTTACCTCAGTTTGAGCTCTTACAGGATCTTCTCACATCCAAAACCACTCTATACATCATTTATACTGATAAATTCAGTATTTTATACTGAATAAAAAGGACATTCACATTGGAACTTGCTGATGAAGTTTCAGATAAAGCAAGAACAGGCAAGTGGTGTCAACCAGGAGCTGCTGGGATGCCCCTCTGTTAAAATCACCTGGCCAAGTTCATCCTGTAGCCAAGGGACATGGGCAGTGCAGCACAGGCCTGCCTTAACTGGGTGGTGTATGAATTGCTACATCCTTGGTGTACAATGGCCTTCCAGTTAGGATCAGCATCCAGCATTTCAGTGGGATGTAAATTCTTTTGAGTTGATGGAGTTTAAATTACAGGGCTGTAAGAAAAGCCAGTGAAATTGCATACCTGTCAGCACCACGGTGTGTTCTCCACCACAAGCAACCTTATTAACCTTTTCCATAATTCCCAGTACAGGCTGTGGGACTCTATTGTTCTTCAGCTGTTCAGGGAATAATCCCAGTTTCCCATTCACAGATTCTCCAAACGTATAGAGCTCACCATCTCCTGTGAAAATGCAGAACAGAGTATGGTTTCTAGCACATACTCAGGAGCAAGAATGGGTTGAAGACTGCTGCAGACACAAACTGTACAGACAGAAAAGTGTATGAACATTACAGGATAGCTGAACATATTTGTATAATGCCCAAGCAGCTGTGAAAAGCACAGAATTCACAGAATCACTACATTGGAAGAGGCCTTCAAGATCGAGTCCATCCCAGCCTCAACTCCTCAACTAAACCATGGCACCAAGTGCCACATCCAGTCTTTATTTAAATACATCCAGGGATGGTGACTCCACCACCTCCTGGGCAGACAATTCCAGTACTTTATCACTCTTTCTGTAAAAAACTTTTTCCTAATATCCAACCTATATTTCCCTTGGCACAGCTCAAGACTGTGTCCTCTGGTTCTGTCAGTGCAGCCTGGAGAAAGAGACCAACTCCACCAGACCACAGCCACATTTCAGGAGTTGTAGATGGTGATAAGGTCACCCCTGAGCCTCCTTTTCTGCAGGCTGAGCACCCCCAGCTCCCTCAGTCGTTCCTCACTGGGCTTGTGTTCCAAGCCCTTCACCCTCACTCTGCTTTGATGGGACACAAAGGTGCTAGATTTGAGTCCCCTGCAAATTCCGAATCACAATATTTAGCCTGCAAAGAATGTAGCCACAGGAAAAACAAAACCATATACATCCTGCTTCTGAGAGGTGGTAATTCTCTCTGTAATCAGCATCTAAGTCAAATGAAGAACTGCTTATAAGAATCTGAACTGAAACAGAAAATAATTTTGTGTGGAATTTTGATGGAAAATCAACCTGCTCAAGCAGGGTCATCCCTGAGCACATGGCACAGGATTGTGTGACATTTCTGGAATGTCTCCAGTGAGGGAGGCTCCACACTCTCTGTGGGTGTCTGTCCCAGTCCTCAGTCACTGCACAGTGAAGAATTTCTTCCTCATGTCCAGGTGGGACTTCCTGGCCATCAGTTCCTGCCCATTCCTCCTGTCCCATTTCTGGCCACCACGGAGCAGAGCCTGGTCCATCCCCTGAGTCCTCCCTGACAGACAGGGATGAGATCCCCTCCAGCCTCATCTTCTCAAGGCTCCCTTACATTCTTCTACACCTCTTTTCTAAGAATTTTTTGCAGTTGTTTCAATCTGTCTGTGCTTCTTAAGAACCAGCAAATTTACCTTAGCTGCAAAAAAAGTAAATTTCATTAAATTTTAAACCTACAAACCATGTTTAGGCTTCTCTGTTCAGTTTGATTTCCTGTTTTAATTCTGATTTTGTTCTTATAACTATGCGCAGAAGTACTCTGAACAGGCTGATACTTTGCTGTTATTGGCATCAGCATCAATTTTCTATTCTAAAACAGTAGCCCAATTAAAAAGATAAAAATCAACTGCAATGTGAGGTTCTCTGTAACCAAAGCATTCTGCTGACAAAAAGATATTTTAAGCATTCTAAGTGGAAAGAAAAAAAAAAGGCAACAAAAAGAATCCTGTATGTTTTGGAAGGTAAGTATTTTTTCAGTACTCTTAGATCAGACATATATTTCTAAAAACAAGTTTAAAAAAAACCCAAAAGCACTTGGGAGATAACTACTTATGCAGTTTCTCTTTGAAGACACCAGCAGTTCTTAAACACTATTGCACTGAAAAAATTAATCCAATCACTATCTAATTAAGAGGATTAGAGATTCAAATGGCCAAGCCTCCCAAACTCATCAAGTTTATTACATTTTTTCCACTTAATAATCCAGCTAACAAAGATAAAACCTTTTACCAAAGCAATTTTTGAATATATTACACATCCCTTTTAGGCAAATAGTGGTCTAAAAACTATGAAAAATAGCAATCAAGCATGAACAGAACCCAGTCAAACCCAGATAAATTTAGAGTGCAGTACATCTGCATGCTGAGGACATGATGTACTGTGTGGAGTACACCTGAATTTTAAGGACACTCTGTTCACAACAAAACCTGGTTATTTAATTTGTTCCTCTCATATGAGTCACACTCTCACATTTTGAACTTTCCCTAATGTGATTTTCTGTATCACTAAACTTAAAATCACAGCAGCATATCAAGAAAACGGACAAGTGAATGGAAAATGTCCCCCAAAGTTAAATGTGCATTTGAGTGCATAGATAAGAGACCTGGCTCATGGCAAATGAGGGACAAAAATGAGTGGACAAAAGAATTGGATAACTCTAAGATTTCTTGAATAAATGAAGACAAAAAAGAAAATAAATATTTATTAAGACTAAATTGCTTAAAACTGTCTTAAACACTGAAATTCAGAGCAGGGAAGTGTTTGTGGGATGAATTATTCTTAAACCAGTCCTTAAAAATAATGACAAAATATATTTTAAAAAAGAATTCAAGGAACCTGCAAAACTCTTTATGAAAGTATCTTCTCAATAAGAATCTATCTTGACTTTGATTACAGTTACAATTCAGGCAGGGGAAACACAAGAAGGGGTCTAATATATTCAATTCCTTTTTTTCTCCACACATCTAATTCTGCTGTGGAAGCCAGAGCAGTGGTGAGATGTATCAGCTTTTCCTGCTCTCCATCTCCTGCAGTGGACAAATGAGCTGTACATGCTTGCCAAGCTTAATGCTTCCTGAAAAATTGTCCCCTCCTGAGTGTGTGATCAAAGGAAATTAAAGATCTGTATAAGTGCTCAAAATTGTTGCTACACTCTCCCAGCAGTTTATTTCTCTGTTGATTTGCTTGAGACATAACCCTGATACTGGGACAGAATGTCCAAAGCCTGCTAAAAGGGAAGAAAGGAAACACACTGTGAACAAATCCTAAAGAGAGCTGGAAGCTACAGACTAAGAGCTTCTTTTCACTGGACCTCTTTGACAAATGCAAAGGAGAGAGAAAGGGAGCAAACAATCATCTTCCAAATATGAACTGAGTAATCAGACTAGTTCTTAATTTGCATGTGGAATTGAATTAGCCATTGCCTGTACACGTGCCTAGTCTAAATTTCAGAAGTGGGTTTTTTATTTACAATATTCAGGATTTGTTCTGTTCTTCTATTTTGCAGCCACTTTGGCATCAGTGGAGTCCACATGTACATGGCAGAATACAAGTGACACGTTCAGCAGTTAAATTGTCTGCAAAGAAAGCCTTCTAGAAAGCAGAAGGAAGAAGGGTGACATAATCTTTTTGGAACTATAAGAGGCATTGCTCCTGTCTTCATACCTTAAAGTTAAAAGTCTACTAAAAACATCTAAAACCCAGCAATGTCAAAAAGAAAAAAACAACTTCATTTTAAAAGGAAAAAAAAAAAACAAAACTGGAATCCATACTTCAAAACCTTTTTATTCAATACTCTCTTATTAATGAACGTCCTGCCCTGGAGAGGGCACTCTGTGTCCACACTATGTTTTCTAGTGTCCTCATGAGCCACCTTTTAGTTTTAACCCAGATATGCCTGTGTTCCCAACAGGTTTTTCAGCCAGCACACACCTTATGTCAAACATAAACATATTAAGAAAGGGAGCCATATGGTGCCATGCTCATCACTTCAGTCTGACAGCATCTTCCAAGTTTTAAATCCTGCAAGTATGTTACACTATTAGTGTATTGTTTGATGTCTAAAAATCAAAATGTGGTAATTCTACAGTATTCTAGTAACTGGTAAGTAACACATCCTGTGACTATGGTATACTCATAAAAAATGCATAAAGCTAATTTTTAAACACTGTGTAGATACACACTGACAGCAGTGCAACAGAAAATCGATTCTGCAAAAGTACTTGGATGCCCAATATTAAATTTTTATGGTAGCTGAAGTATCAGTCAAATAAAACTGATGGCAAGGGGCCCAAGGAAAGTAATAAAAAATTTTATGCTTTCACCACAAAGAAGGCCATGTGTATGTCAGTAGCTTCAATGACACAGACTGAATTCATGCAGGATTTGCAGATATTATGGCTAAAAATTAAGATTTTCCATCTCATACTCAGGCCTGTTTAAGCAGAAATAGGTTCACCAACTCCTCATTTTCACAGGTGATAACCAGTTTATTCTACCTATCAATATTTTAAGAAGCTCCATTTTTCTTAACTAGGTACAAGCCTAAGCCTTTTTTTCTTTTCCCCTTCCATCAAAAGTTTCCACTTCCTTCCGGCACTTGGCACACATTGTTCTCTCTTTACTCTCAGATGTTTGTCCTCAATCCTTCTACTAATAAGAATTGTGACATCCTGCTGCACTCCTGGACCTTCAGCTCTTGGCTCAAAGGCACACATCCTTGAAGCAGGTATCTTTTTTTTCCCCCCCATTTGTTCTGAGTCCAGGAAACTGTATTGTTCCTAACAGGTGCTGAGGTCCTGATCAGTCCCAAGCACTTAATTCATTTACTGTAATAAAGCATTTGTAATAAAAAGTTGCACACTACCTGCCTAACACCTAATTAATATTTGTCCATCGTTGCAAGCTCTCATTCTGTTAACAGCATGTTCTCAGAGAGCAATAAAGATATTGTATGTGGAAAAGTAACATTTATCATGTAATCTGGGAAAGGTATCTGATGGAATAGCTCCTGGGTACCCATTAAAAGCTTTACAATCAAAACTATCGATCCTTTGAAATCTTTAATTACTCTAAGGGGACCAAACAGTAAAGTTTAATAATGTAAATCTATATGGCTGAGAGGAATTCATGGCTGCTCATACATAATGCCATCAATACTGGCTGATAATTCATCCATACTGGCATTATTAAAAGATGAGTGGAATCATCACTTTGGAAACCAATGGAGAGTTGGGAAGAGACAGGTGGAAAGCATTAGGGAGGTGGTTTGGTTTGGAGATCAGACAACAGCTCACTACAGCATTGCTTCTCCTCATATCACGTACTGCCAGTTTAACTGACTTCAAAACTTAAATTTTAAGACAGAAAAACAAACTTGGACAACAATCTTTTACTTCTAACAAGATTAATTTTTTCTCATAACAGCATCTCAGTTCAATATTGGTATTTCTAGAGAAGATAACGTTTATTATTTGATCATAAAAATTAAAAAAAAGTTGGCTTTTTGAAACCATAGTTTTAATCCACAATATATGCAATAACCCTAATTAAAACAAACTGTGATAAGATATTTCATTCTTTCTAATATACTTTCACATGACAATGTGCAAATGCAGAAAATCAATTGCAATTTTTTCTCTGTGTGATACAAAACTACATAGGAGGCTTTCTGTCCCATGACAGTTTTTAACAATTATAGGGTATCAAGTTTCAAATAACTATTTGAAAACCACTGTCTTGTCTCCACTAACCTCTATTCCTATTCTTTTACCTGTAATCAAGGCAGAATGGTAATATCCACAGGATACAAAGGAAACAGGTTTTCCAATATCCACTTTGCATGGGACACTGACAGAGGCTTCACTGGCCAGGCCAATCTGCCCTTCTGAATTATCACCCCACACAAAGAGCTGCCCATCCTCTGAAATGAAGACACAGATAGTTAATAGATTTAAAACAAAAACTAATAAAAAGTTAATCTATTTATTGAAGAGTACTTCAGAAACTCTATGATACTACTGAATGTCATGATCTCAAAGATATAAATGATAATTTAGCCCAATGCAAAAAGGAGTTGGAAATAAGAGGGTTTTCCTTAAGCTTTTCCAAAGTGACCCAGAACACTTACACATAACCAATGTTAGGCCATAAATACCAACAGAAAAAATACTGTGTAAAAAAACTTTCCTTCAGAAAGAGGAAGAGAGTGAGCGAGACAATTCAGTTGCCAGAGGTCAGTATGAAAATATTACAGGGAATTTAAGGCATCTTCTCATTCCTAGGTCTAAGTCACCCCTTTCTCATTCTTCCAAACTTATTTTTCTGACTTTGGTAGGCATTCCACTTATTCATGCCTTATCTTTCAGTTCTCCTCACAGGTGGTTATATTGACCAGCTTAATTTTGCTCTCCTTAAACTACAACAGAAGATGTTCCAGGTTTATTAAGACCAGCTTCTATTGAAAAAAAGATCAATGGCAACAGTAAAACAGAAAAAAAAAAAGTCAGTGAGCAACATGAAAAGTCTGTAGATTCTTCTAGAAGAGATAAAGTCTTCTCTATGCATATTTCTTATTGTTGGGAAATAAGTTGTGAATAAAAAAATACCACCTACAGTGCTACTGAGGTGGTGTTAGGAGCTAAAATAACTAAAAGTTGTAGTAAGAATCTAGAAGTCTCAGGAGAGTGTCAGCAATTGGCATAAACAAACAAACAAACAAAGGCTAGCATCTCTCTCAAGTTCTGAAATTACAGCCTCAATAACTTACCCTAAACAGCTACAGAAAAAACTGCTTTACAGCAAGACATGAAAAATTGCATTATAGGGTAACAAAGGAACACCCATCCACTTTGTGACAGGAAGTATTATAACTGTGTGGATTTCAGCATGTTGTGATGTGCAATTGGTATAATTCTGCCACCTGAGAAACAAGTGAGAGGCTCAGCCTCTCCTAGAATTAGTAAGGAATGACACAGCTGTACAGCCTGTGCAGAACCAATGGACTGCAATAGCTGCAGTAACAGGTGGAATTAGAGGTGCTTAGTTTTCATAGGATTCATGTTTTGTAGCTGCTTTCCCTGGAAATAAACTGAAGGGGTTTTTTTTCCATTTCGAGAGTATTCATACCATTCCTCCTCTGTAAGCATTTCTACTAAACGTTCACAAAAACTCTAAGAAGTTAATGAGACACCAAATTGTTAAAGTAGGCAATTGACTGTGAAAAAAAAAATTACTGTGGCTATCCAGGAAAGAAAACAGTGAGGATAGAAAATGCACCCACATATACAGACAGAATGCTGGATTAAGTGTCTTCCTGGAACCAGGCTGGGCACACATAAATAGATTTTATTAGCAGTTGTTCTCACCAGTTACTGCTGCTGAGGTGTATGATCCAGCTGATAGTTGCTTGATCTTGTGCTGGTTGGTGAAAAAGCTAATTAAATGAAATGTGGTCCTTTCCTCTGTGTCACCTAATCCCAACTGACCTTCACTGTTACCTCCAGCAGCATAGACATTTCCTTTTTCTGCATACAGAAGGGCACAGGTAATACATAGAAAGAAAGAAACCAGAAGAGGTAATTTAATTTTCAATGGAAAAACACCACAAAAACATTAGGGTCTATTGCCCTGAAACACCCTCCTGCTGAAATTAGCAGTTCTGTTGTACCTAGCAAGGTTTTCCTGTGCATACTTAGAGCAGAACTTCCTAAAGACCTTACTGCATTTCCCATTATTCTGGAGACTGATGTAAAAATAAATGTGATTAGAAGTTCTGCAAGAGCTCTGAGAAAATGACTACCAGTAGCCCTGGCAACCAGAAGCAGCTTCTTCCAGAAATAATGTATATTTTAAGATAGAGTGGGAGGAAAAGGGTGCATGATGTCACACACACAAAAAACTGAAGCTGTATTAGTATGTAAATTGAAGAAATTAATAACTTGATAGTTTTGAGTACTGGGAATAACATATATCTCTACTTAGTTTTTTTATTAGAGATATTTTACTTATTTTAATATTTAAATAACTTCCAATTTAATTAGCCAGATTTTTTTTTTTTGAATCTTGAATTTAATGCAGATGACAGATATCTTCAACTTTAGAGAACTTTAAGATTTATACTTTTAATTTTAGTATGTTTCACATCTAAAGTGCTCATCTATGCAGAAACAGATACATCCTATTATTAACAGAAACCCAGACAGAAACGTGATAAATAAACTGAGATATAATGGCCACAAATTATCTCTCCAGTGTGTACACCAAAGGTGACTAATATTTACCCTGTGCAGACTTGCACACTCCATTGTTATTAATATGTTCTATTTTATTCTAACAATCTTATTTACAGTATTCAGGGTCTCCATGTATATAAACCTCCTAATAACCAAACAACTCTCTTTACAACATTACTGAAAGCTAAAGGATTGCAATCACAGAGATGGCTTTTCCATTATATAAATTGTAGAAGTATGACAAGAACCTTCATAAATTCTCTGTATACTCTGACTCTACAAATTTATTTTTAAGTTTAAATTTACAGTTTATTTATATAAGCTTAATAAAGCAATTTGTCATTGAAATAGCAGACTATGTTTTGTAGCCAAAAATGCAGGAAAATTTGAAGACTTGAAAACATTCAGTTCTATTATATTTATGCAAATTTATAACTTCACATTAATAAATATTATTTATCAAAGATAAATTTGAGTACAGATGTATATAAAAATAACAATATATCTTTACAGGGCTTAAAGGAAATATTCATATTTGTTAACCACACCTCAAATGCCAGCAAGAAATTTTTCTATATGCCTATTACTAGAAAACTACCATCTAACATTAGTTTATAAATGCATTTGCTCAGAATAAATTTAAAAATTCTAAAAATTTCTGAATTCTAAGAAATCAAACCCCTGACTTTTAGAAGACCATTTTCATTTTTTTTTCCTTCTTCAATACTTCTGAGGTTCCTAATGTAATTTTGCATGAAAGCAAAGGAAGAAATGAATCTTGAATATGTATGAAATAGAGGTTACATACCTGTGTAAACTAAAGTGTGGTTTCTTCCACAAACAGCAAGTTTTGGTTTTTCTGGTTTTAAAGCTAAGAATTAAAACCAAACAGGAGAGAAAGTTATAAACAAGCTGATAGCTTGTTCAACAATAAAGTGTTCTATGCTCTAGAGGGAGCTCTGATTTCTTCTTTTCACATTTTTATGAACAGAATTATTACAAAATTCATTGCACATTTCAATCTAGCACATGACTTATCAAATCAGTATTCCCCCAAGATAAGAAAATAGGTCAAACCTTAAAAACTTAAAACACTCAAGTTAACTTGATGATGGTTACTTCACCCCAGTGCCACAGTCCCTGGAATTTGCCATTTATGGGATATGCCTCAAAGAATATATTAAGTTGCAGGATACAATTAATGATTTAAGCTGTCTCCAGTTTTCATTAACAGTGCTATTGTTACTTCTCCCTTAGACTTTTCCCACTATTGTAAATCTTTGAAACCATCCTGTTCCTTTGTCTCACCATCCCTGCCTCCCGTTGTTGTGCTCACATCCCTTTTCTGCTCTGTTCTGATCATTTCCTGATCACTGATCTCAATTGCCAAGGGCAGCCCCACCTGGACCAGTGCCTACATTTTTTGCATGTGTCATCCTGTCTCAATTTCAGCTGAGTTAGCACCAATGAGAGTGCCATGGCATGCACTTCTTTGCAGTCTGGTCTCTTTGAAAGACTAGGAATGTATGTGAGGGGAGTCAGGAGTTATTTTGGTGGGAAAGAGAGAATACAAAGGCCCCTCTTCTCTTATGACAAGCATACTCCATTTCAGAAATAGAGAGAAAAAATGTCTCCCTGACTTTTCCATCCTTGCTCCAGTTACTGCTCATTGTCAACAAATTATCTTCTCTCAGTCATGTTCCTGTACCCTATACAATGCTCTAAAACAGGATTATTTTTACATAATAAATCTTTAATTGCTTTTCCACTGCACTAGTCCATAACAAAGCCAACAACAATCATCCCTTTCACAAACCCTTTTCCAGCCCTTGCAGATCAACTTTCATCAGCTCTTTAACATCCAGATTAAGGTGCCTTCTACCAAGTCACCAAACAAACCCATCAACTTAAGCGCGAACTGCCCCTGCTCTGTCACACAGACAGAAATTTAATTTGTCCAAATTCAAGTTCCTGACTCTTACCACTACCATCAGGCTGGATCAATAGCATTTCCAATGCTGGTTTCTTCCTACAATCTTTATATCCCAACACTCTTCAACTTCAGAGATGATCTTAATCAGCTCTTCAGAATCCTGTGCTCCCTAAACTTCCTCCCACTTAGGCTAACCAATTATATGTTATGAGACATGCTATATTTACAATGTAGATGGGGATTTTTCATAATCAATGTCATTAATCTCTAACCAAATCCCAGAACTTTTTTTTTTTAAGGAAAACATGCAGACATAAGCATTTGGCTCCAAGCAGAAACTGAAAAGTGTCCTTGCAACTTCATTCCCAAAGCCAAGTGATGACCAAAGGCTAGAGAGAAAAGCTCCAGAGTTCCTCCTGCTGTCCACTGCCAAGAGAAAAAAGACACCGCCCTTGTGATTTTTTTCAGTGGATGCCAGGTCTGCTTTGAATTGCTGTCATCTTCTCTTCATCTTTTATTCTCCATTGCAATTCAACAGCAAACCCAAAACTTGAAACCAAATCTACTTAAGCCAAGGTAGGACTCAATCTCTCACTAGGCTGACAGAAGATGTGTACCTGAGAGTTGCTGTATTCTCAGTCTGAAGAGAGATGGAGGCAGGAGCAAATAAAGGACAGTAGAATAAACTAAATTAGGAAGAACAGAGTTTGAACAAGCAGGATAATTTGTTTTTAACAATAAGCTAAGAGATCGATCTGCTGGCAGAAAGAGTGAAGATAAACATCTAATAGTGAAAAGAAATGTGTTAATGGGATAGATCTGACTTGACATAAGTAAAGGGATAAGGAAAAGTATTGACTCAGCTTTGTTTGACAAGATAAAAACAGCTAGGAAAGATCAAAAAGATCACAGTGCAATGAAAACATATTTTCCATCACATGAAAGAATACAGGAATTTATTTTACTGCCTCATAAAAATGTATTAACATTTATGTCCCCTGGGGCATTTCTTATACTTGTTAAAAATGTAGCAGTACTTGTGAAAAGTTTCTGATAGATTTTTTTCATTTACAAAGTTGCTAAGAAAATAGTGACACAGAGGTTGCACAATGCTGCTGGAACTATGGCTTCTAAAGCACAGACCATGCAGAGACCAAGCATCTGATTATTGTCTGCAGTAAAAAATGAAGATGTGGTTTGAGAGAATAGGCAAGTACTACATAAAGTCAGAGCCCTCAAAAATGACAGGATTCTATGTATCCTAAGTAATCCTCAGATGCAAAAGGACTCAGAATCTAAAGTAATGGAAAATCAGTAAGGGATCCTTTAGAGCTACCTTCACAATCTTGTGCACTAATGTGCACTTGTGATGAAGAAAAATAAAGAATCAGTTATTTTGGAATTGCATCCTATGAAGTACCTTTTCACAAAGGTCTCCTTTCAAAAAGACGAAAGAAAAGAAAAAAAGAAAAATCACACAAACCTTTTACACAGGTTGGTTTGCTGACAGTGTTCTTTGATCCTAGTCCTAACTGGCCCCAGTCGTTACTGCCAAACATGTACAGTTTACCTTTCCCTGAAAAAAATCACAGACAGAATCCATACAAGAGTTTGAACACCTCATTGGAGACAAGATGGTCATTCACTCACAATGAACTTATCACTTCATGTCTAATCTAAGGTTTAAGTTTAGGCAATTCAGTACATGAGTGTAAACAATATTTAATATCCTTGTGATTTTACAGTTCAAAAAAAGTAATTGCATTGTTTAAGTAAGAAAGCCAGAAGAAGAAACATTCTCATCTTCAATTACAGCACAGATGAAGTGCTCTTCAGAAAACAAGATGTACTTTGGGCAGACCCTGCAGTTCAGAAACCCCAGTATCTATAAGCCCCCTTATAAAATAACAGCACATCAAACTGAGCACCCACATCTTTTACTCCAAATTTACAAATGAATAATGGAGCTATTTGATAAATACAAGTACAGATTTGTAATATTTGGTTTATTTGTTTGTTTAGGGTGGGATATTTCTTTTACTGTTAAATGTCTTCTCTTAAATTGATTTACAAATGTGCACTTCTATCAAACATAGTTTCTGATAAATTTTCACAAACAATATACTGTATCAATTTAACACTATACTGTATTAATTTGTTATTTTGCATATAAAGACAGAATATATAAACCCACCATGCAGTCAGAGAGTTTTGTAAACCTAAATTCAGACATTAGGTTACAACTGTTCAACAGCGACAATGCTAGAATCACCTTTCAGAAATTCCTATGATGCGTCATAGGACTTGCATGTTTGACCATTGCAAACAATGAACTGTTACAATTCTTAAAAAACGGTGCATTCTCTAAGGATGGTATATGAACAGATGAGAATTTTGTCATCTGGGATGAAAATTGGACAAAACTGACCACTGACAATACCTTAAAATGAACTAATTTATTTAATTTTTTTAAATTATCACACCTTGAAAAGCTGTAAAGTTCCTACTGGAAAATAAGACCCTTATTCCAACATAAATCTTTATAAAACAATAGAAACTGATTTATACAAAAAACCCACAACAAAACAACAACCTTTCCCCACACTCCCACCCTTTTACAAAAAATATAACGACTTTTTTTACTTCTGAAGGTTTGCAGATCTTTGTGCATTAGGCTCCATCATAATGTTGTCATCCTAGACAGAAATTTGGTCATAGAGCTTGTCACCCTCATCATCTACAACTACCACAACCACAATCCATAATTGCAATTCCATATAATAATGCCAAAATAATATGGTTGTTCCAGTGAAAGTTCTGATTGTGATTTACAGACTTTTAAATATGATATTGCAATGTTTTAAATATTACCCAAAAATCCTATTCTAATAAAAATATCCATTCATTTTCTTAAAGATAATCACATAGTTCAAAAAAATAAAACCACACCAGTGCTTAACTGTAACCAGTATCTAAAATCCTGATTGTTAGATTTTACAATTCTTGGCACGTGGGACTATGTGTCAATATTATGTCTTTCCAAGAAAGCTGGAAGGGAAGAAAGACAGAGGTCAAATTCATGCTCACAGTGTTCTACTAACAGCATTTATATCTCCATCCTAATTTTGATAATGTAATCATGTCAAACACATGCAGAGCTGTCGCTGACAGCAAACACACCTTAACAGAAAGGATTTTTATCAGCAAATGACATCTATCCTATATTGGTATGGCTTCCTTGTATCCTTGCTTTACACTTTTCAACTGCTTTCCTAAGACAGCAATACTTTTGTGGGAGTATGATGCCAAGCTGCCCTAATTCAATTTAAGCACATTCTCTTTTATCCATGCAAAATTCAAACAAGGTCATGCTTTTCATCCTATAATCTGTTCGGTTTTATATCAGTCTTTAAATTCTCAGGCATTGCTTTGTAAGTCAAGGAGCTTAATAGATGAGAGGAATTTTTCCACATTCTTTTACAACTGAGTGACAGCCTTTTATAATTTCAGGTTTCCTAGGAGTATAATAGAAAATAAGAAATCTGGGAAGCAGTTAATTTAGAAAGAGAATGAGAATTAACAGGCACTACAGAGGAACCTAAACAAATGCCTGTAATGAAGCAACATTTCTCAGTCTGTACAGCAAATCGAGTTTTGGAAGAGACGTGATTCAATCTAAGCTGGCCAAGAAATACAATACAATTTTGCATGCAAAAGGCACAGTTTTCATAACTGCATACTGAGATATGCCAGCCGTCACACAGATGCACTGAATCCAACAGCAGAAAAATAGGCAAGGATCAAATTTCAAAATTTCGTAAACTCAGATTGCTCTTGGTTTTTTTGCTTCCACTTTGGTGCCATCATCCAGATCGTGGCCACCTGCCAGGTGGAATGGCTGCCACAAGACAGGTCCAGCAGAGTAAGTAAGACTGTGACTCTGGGCAGGAGGGAAACAACAGGAGATAATGAAAAGGCCTACTCAGACTGTTTTGGTGATGAAAACACACTTCCAACAGCAGTTTCCACCTTTATCCTGATGCAAAACTGAAGTATTTCTCCCAAGCATGTGTTCCCTGGCAGGTACACCAGCAGATGCTTCACCAACAGCAGTTCAGGGCTACCAGGGAAGCCACAAGACACTTGCATGTGTAGCAACAGAGGTTTTGTGGGACCCTTCAGTAAAAGATTGTCTCCCACCTCATTTCTCATGAACAGCTGCTATCACAACTGTGATTCCTGGCAACCCCATCAGTATGTGCACTTCTGTTTCATGAAGTGCTTTTAAAGGCATTCATTGGGCAGCTGGGAAATATCAGCTGAAATCCCATATGCTTTGTCATAGCAGGCAGCCAAGTACTCTAATCACCTATGTTTAAAGGTATGTTTTACATATTCTCCCCATTTCTTTTTAAATTATATGAGTGTGGGAGAGAAGTAAGATGGGGAGGCAATGTACAGGCCTTGAATATTTACTACAAGATCCTTCTGAGAAACTGTATCTGAATAAAACATAAAAGGTAGTATTTTGTACAGAGTAGCAAATGCCAAGGCACCACAATTACTTTTAAAATTATTTTTATTTGAGCTATATAGTGAATAAATTATGTTAACAGTGGATTTAAAACTCATATAGAAGTCAAATAAATCTCAGGAAAATAGGAGTGGCATCAGTTTTGTTAGACAAGTCAAGGTATTTTCAGAAACTTTATTGAGCAACAAGCACAGTCATGATTAGGACATCTGGCATCACACAAGCAAAACCAGCACAGAACATTGCTCGCTCACATACATCAACACAAATGTCTACTAATCTTTCTCATCCTCCCAAAAGATATTGTGCCATGTTCTGATGACCTACTGCTAAGCAGAAGAAGAAAACTGGTGACAAAACACCTGGAGGGTTTCCAGCATCTCTGTTCATTGCTTAATGCCTTACAAAACCTGAAATTATGAGTATACTATCTTCTTGTGGTTCCACATGCACCTCTTTTCACTCCCACTTTTACAATTGATACTTCTTTCTTTCCTTCTGCCTTCTTGTGCTGGGGGCTTCAATTCTCTCCAAGGCTCTGAGTTCAGAAAAGGTGTCTTCATTCATCAGCACTATCCCCCTTGTGAACAGGATCAGTCTCTTTGATTAAATATGGTTAAGCTGCCTAGGATAGTCTAATCAAGGCAAATAAACAATAAGATAGCTGTTAAGTTTAAGAGTTTTGTAGGAAACAAAATTTAATGCACAGGCATTGGAAGGAGATTCTTAAAAGTATTCATATTCATACTTCTTCACACCAGCTCCCATGAGGATTAATTAATTGCTTTCCAAAGCCTGCAGTTGTAGAAGATGCGGGAATGGACTATCAGTATGCTTGGGCCAAAAAATACAGAAATGAGGCAAGAACCATTATGAAACATGTTACAACTGATACTGGAATATATGTTACTCATGACTGCATTAAATGCCTAAAGAAGACCACTGCTTAAAAAATTCCTGCTTGGACATTTTAATCAAGGTTATGCCAATGGTAGATAGCAAAAGAATAAAGAAACACAAATTTCACCCCTAAACTTCCTTCCTGGAGAAGAAAACTTTTCTTCAACTAGCTCAGCAAGCCAACTCAAAGTCAGCAAGTAACTATCACTGGTCCTATCAATTCCAACATGCAGCCACTACACGTTGGACTCTTAACTCCTGACCTAGAAAGTCAAAGGATGGAGTGTTTTGTATTTATTTTACACTTGTCTTTATAAAAGTCATATGGGAATATTGATGCCAGATTAGATGAAAGTTTGAAAGGTTCTGAATATTTTGTTTGAATGCTAAATATCAGTTCTTGTACATTTTATTCATTAGTATTCAGTCAAGATTTGTTGCTAGTTGTAGCCAACTCTCCTGCCCAAATCCAGCATTAAGGAATTATTTGTATCAGTTTGGGTGATTGTTTTATTTATGATTGTTGAGCCATGTTAACGGCAAAATTGGTATATTTCTATATTTTCATCTACCTCATATTCTACTGTCCCCTACAAATATACCTCCCACTCCCTCTTTCAAGGTGTGGAAAAAAAAAAGGAGGGGGGAAATTTTGTGACCTGTAACTAAAGACTGAAGTAAAATGAAGCATGCATTAACACACACCTGCTTGAGATACTTTTCCTTCCTTGGTGATGTTTGCCTTTTATCTCTTCCAGGTCAGGTTCAGCTGAAGAAGCTCCTGGTTTCCCACAAGGTCTGTACCCTTCTCAGTAAACTCATTATCAGCATAAGCTTCTGAACCATTTATTCCAGGTGTTACTGCAGCTCAGGGTCATTCCCAAGGGCTGTATCATCCAATTCCATCTAACTGCAGAAATGTGAGGTGCACATGGGCATGCACTGGTGTGAAGAACAAATGAGGGAGAAGAGCTTTTTCCTTCCCTTCTGCACTTTTTTTGTATGACTCTTGCAGTTTCTCTGCCTTTGCTTGTTGTTGATCCACACTTTACTCTCACTTCTGCTTTTACAATGACCCAGAAAACCTTTGCTACCAAAGAAGTGTTTTCCTCATGCTTCTACAGTTCCTTGAGAGCAAAAGCTTTGAGGAAATAAAGATCTGATCATCTAGAAGCCTCCCTGGTGATGTACCTGCCCACTACAACAGCTAGGGCAAGCTACAGAGACACTTTTGAAACAAGCTGCATATACTAAAATAATGGAGAGAAGGGGAAATTATACAGCAATGGTGCTGCAAGAAAATCTCTGCAAGATGACTTCTTCAAAAGCTTTATCTAAGTGGTCACTATTACAGTGATGTGGGAATTTGGGGATTGCTGCTGTCTGGGGTTAACTGGGAGGCAATTCAAATTCACTGGTTTAAACTCAGAACTACAACTGTGTTATCTCAAAGTGGGTGTGGGCATATAAAAGTATATGTAAAAAGAAAATGCAAAAGGAAAATGCCCCAGGTTACATCTGGATAAATTTAATGCAACAGGTAATTTAATATTATTGGTTCAATCCAAGAAAAAGTGCCAAGCTTTGTTCAAAATAAACTATTAATGTATAATTCATCTGCCGTGAAGTTAGGCTTGAAAAATTCATCATGTAATTTCACCTCAGGGTGTTCTGCAGCCCATGAAATCTATAGTCTTTTTTATCTTGCCTGGAATAGTTCTTTCTAAAAATTCAGCATCTTCAATGTTGCTTGTGAACATTGCAAGAAATCCTCAGCAAATTATTTAATAAGAAATTACCAATTGGATATTGATGAGCAATAACTACATTCCAATTTTTAAAGTCCTGAAAATACACATATATTTTTTTCAACAACAAAGTCTTATTATTTGACAGCAGTTGATTGTCAGTACAATCATCACACACACTTATCCACAGAAGAGTAGTCCCTTCCATGTAAAATAAAATGAAAAAAATTCTTCAATGAGTATTGTTTCCACCATTTCAAATAAAAGAAAAAAACATTAATAATGCTTCCTCTATTATACCAGAGTTTCTTTGAGCACTTTTTCCATTTATTTCTGATTTTTGTAGGATTCTCTGAAATCCTTTATTGAGTTGCTCTTTCAAGGGCTATTTTCATCTGACAGTTAACAGCAATTCCAAACTTAATTTGAGAGACATAATAAATTGTAAATACAATAAATTGTATTTATTGTTTCAAGGAGACTTCTATTGAACTTGTGGTGTTCAGCAGTTACTGTTACTTTCATGATACAATAAATGTAACATACTAAATATTGTCAGATTCACGAGAAACATTCAGCCTGAACTACGTTATGTTTAGTTCAAATCCTGTCATACATTCCGTTAAAAACTTCCCCCAAACAGTTCTTGGGCAAGTCCCGTGAAAACCTTGAGTGACCTCACACTAACTCCAAAGGCATCCAACAGTTCCCACAAAGCAATCCTCTCTCCTCTCCCCAACCTCAATTAACGTATTACCTCAGGATGCAGGTAAAATTCCTAACTTTCAAAGGTGTCCAAATACATCACTTAATGATACAGGTCAGCTTCACTACAAGAAAGACATTGAGGGGCTGGGATGTGTCCACAGAAGGGTCTGGAGCACAAGTCCTGCCAGGGAAGCTGTGGGAGAAAAGGGGGCTCAGAGAAGACCTTGTCACCCTACAACTTCCAAAAAGGACATTGTAGCCAGAGGGGGTTTGGCCTCTTCTTCCAGGTAACAAGCAAGAGGATGAGAGGAAATGGCCTCAAGCTGTGCCAGGGAAGGTTTAGACCAGAGACTGGGAAAAATTCCTTCATGGAACAGGATGCCGCGGGCAGTGGCTGAGTCACCATCCCTGGAGGTGTTTAAAAGATGCATAGATGTGGCATGTGGGGCATGGTTTGGTGCTGGGTTAATGGTTGGACTTCATAATCTTAAAGGTCTCTTCCAACCTGAACAATTCTGATTCTATATCCTCCATTTCCAATACTGACCTGTAATAATAGCTGTATGTTCATCTCCACATGATATAAGTACAGGCTTGTCATTTTTGAACCAGAACTTGCTAGGAATATCTTCTGCAAATTTGCTTTTCCCGAATGTGAAAACAGCACCTGACTCTGGAACACAAAGAGATGTCAATTTTAGTGAAAGCAAATTTTGCCTCACATATTTTGAAACAGACATGTTCTATCAATTCAGTGGCACATTTTATTTTCTTATCTTTCTCTTCTTTCTTCTCTTAGCCTTCAAAACAGGAGTTGGCAGAACTCTCATTTCACCCAAACAGGAGGAAGAACTGTCCTGTGTGAGTGGCAGAGCACTGGAACAGGCTGCCCAGAGAAGCTGTGGAGTCTCCATCTCTGGAGAGATTCAAAACCTGCCTGGACACAATCCTGTGCAACCTCCTCTGGGTGAGCCTGCTTCACCAAGGGGGTTGGACCAGATGGTCTCCAGAGATTTCTTCCAAGCCCAACCATTCTGTCATTCAGTGATAAAGCCATGATCTAAAAAATCCAAACAAAACCACCCCAAAATAAAGTCCAAGCAGCTCTTCAGGCTGTAGTCTGCCGGGTTTCTCACTTCTTCACACTTTACAGAATGTTAACTACGCGTTCAGCTTTTGGTTAGGCATGTGGTTTGACAGAAAATATCAATTCTACAGAAAAATAAATGAACTTACAAGATAAATAATTTGTCAAAATTCTTGTGGACAATGTCAACTCAGATATAAAAGCTCTATTAGACCTCCTAGTTTAAAATGTCAAAGCCTGTGCTATAAAACATAAAAAAACCAACAAACCCCCCCCCAAAAAAAAAACCACAAAAAACAAACAAAACAAAACAAAAACAAAAACACCCCAACAACAACAAAAAACCACCAAAACTAAAGCCAAGAATAAACCAAACCTTTTCCTTGTAAATTTTGTTAGCATGTAACACATGCGGCCGGCGGGGGCGGCACCGGGCCCGGCCGGACCCTGAGGGCGAGGCGGGGAAAGGCCTGGCACAGGGCTGTGGGCATGGGATCACCACAGGATGGGCTGTGCTAAAGCCAAGAATAAACCAAACCTTTTCCTTGTAAATTTTGTTAGCATGTAACACATGTTAGGAAATATACACAATAACAGAAGACTGTTTCTGAAAATTACATTGAAACCTCTTAGTGCATTTACTTTCAATGAAAACAATCTCATCAACAATATGCACCCCACCTCCAAAACCTAAAAGTTCTTTCTTAAACTGTATATTTGATTTGCATTTAAAATAATTATTTAATGCAAAAGCTTCCCCTATTTCCAAAGAAGTAATTGTATCTATCAGATGGAGCAGACATGTATAAATTGCACTTATTACCTCACTAGATGTGTTTTTCACTTTCAGTTGCTCAACAAGCTTTGTGCAGACAAACTCAAGCATTCTTAAAGAAAGGGCTGAGTTTTTTCCTTATTTTACCTAGACACACCTACAACTACAGACAAGCTAAATGGCACCTGAAAACTCTGTTTTAAATTTTCATCTACCAGCCAGACAGCCAAGGACTTCTGAACATTTTTTAGCAGTCTCTTCAGCAGGTAGAGAGCTCTCTGGTTCATTTATTTTCCCCTCAGAAGGGTTAACATGATAACATTTTCTGTTCTTTCTTCAGTATATACAAAAAGCTGATACATTTTCCAATGCCTTTTGTATCTCATTCATTTGACTAAGCCACAACATTTCACAACTGGACACAACTCCTGTGCGCTGTTCTGGGCTCCTCAGTACAACTGAGACATGGAGATCACAAAGCGGGTCCGGGGGGGAGGACAACAAGGATTTTGGGGGACTGGAGCATCTCTTTATGAGGAAAGGCTGAGGGATTTGGGCCTGTTCAGCCTTGAGAAGAGATGGCTTAGAGGGAACCTTATTAATGTGTATAAAAATCTAAACCCAGGGGGTGCCAAGAAGATGCAGCCAGGCTCTGCTCGGTGGTGCAGAGCAATAGGGCAAGAGGCAACGGGCAGAAATGATGCTCGGGAAGTTCCGCCTGAACAAGAGAAAGAAATTCTTTTCTGTGCAGTCTCCCTCACTGGACATATCCCAGAACCGTCTGGACACAATCCTGTGCCATGTGCTGGGGGATAACCCTGCTTGAGCAGGGACCAGACAAAGCACGGGAAAGGCCTGGCACAGGGCTGTGGGCATGGGATCACCACAGGATGGGCTGTGCTGAGCACGGGAAAGGCCTGGCACAGGGCTGTGGGCATGGCATCGCCACAGGATGGGCTGTGCTGGGCACGGGGAGAGGCCTGGCACAGGGCTGTGGGCATGGCATCGCCACAGGATGGGCTGTGCTGGGCACGGGGAGAGGCCTGGCACAGGGCTGTGGGCACGGCATCGCAGGCACGGCATCGCAGGATCAGCTATATCCTGAGGGGGGAAAGGCCTGGCACAGGGCTGTGGGCACGGCATCGCAGGCACGGCATCGCAGGATCAGCTATATCCTGAGGGGGGAAAGGCCTGGCACAGGGCTGTGGGCATGGCATCGGGGGATAACCCTGCTTGAGCAGGGACCAGACAACCCTCGCGGTCCCTTCCAGCCTGACCCATCCCGTGCTTCAGCGCTGCCGCCAGTTTGGAAACGGAACCCCATCAACTCGGTAAATTAAATCCCACAGGACGTACACGAGGCGTTTGTTATCCCAGCAACGAGCCAACGCCGGAACATCACCCTGGGCCAAACCGCGACACAAACTAACCATTAATGCTCCGAGTTCCCCCGGCCCCCGAGCGTCCGGCGCTGCCCCCGCGCTGACGCGGCTGCCCCGTCCGAGCTCCGGCGGCGGACGCCTTTCCCCCCAGACGCCGCGAGGCACCGGCCCGACGCGGGGCCCGCAGCCGGGGGAGACCCGCGGGGTGAGGCGGGCAGGGGCCGGCACAGGCAGACGCGCTTTCCCCGCGGGCGCCTCGAGGAGCGGCCGCACTCACCGGGCACGGGCAGCTCGGTCCCCGCGGCGGGCGCGGCCATGGCGGCCGGCACACAGCGCCGTGGGCACGGCATTGCAGGATGGGCTGCACTGGAAACCACCTCTGGGACCACCGTGTACAACCTACAGCCAGCGTCACCATGGAACTCAGTGCCACATCCAGTCTTGAACTCCTGCAGGGATGGTGGCTCCAGCACCTCCCTGGGCAGCTGGCAGTGGGGCAGCACCAGGCCTGGAACAGAGCCCGAGCTCCCGGGGAAAGCTTCTCTATGAAATCAACCCCCCCAGTGCCCAAGGGGTGGCCCTGAGGACCCTGGACCTCTTCTTGGCCACATGGATACTGGACCCAGGACCGATGATCTTTTATCTCTCTTCCCACCTTTTTTTTTTTTCTTTTATTATTTTATTTCTCTTGCTACTAGGAGATATGGAGCTAATTTAACCCAATTAACATGCCATGTGTATAATTTACTAATAAAACTTTGCAAATTTTTTTGGACCCTCTGGCATTTGCTGTTCCTTTACAACTGCAGGCATCTGTAAATCTTGGCTGTTCCCTTCCTCTTAGGTGGCACTAATTCACAGGAGTTTGCTATGAAATTCCATGTGGGAATTGGGATCAGGCAGCCTTTGTACAGGGGTGTGGTGGATTGGCCTTCCCTGGACACCAGGTGCCCACCAAGACACTTCATCTCTACTCCTTCTCAGCTGGACAGAGGAGAGAAAATAAGACAGGAAGCATAGGTTGAAAAAAGGCAGATTGCTAAAACAAAAATTAAAAGTAGCGTGCACAAAAGCAAAGCAAAAAAACCAGATTTTTTTTATTTCTTCTCACCAGCAAGTGATGTCCAGCCACATACCAGGAAGCAAGAGTTAAGCACCTCATCTTTGCTCCAGAAGGCACATATTGTAAAATAATGAATGTTCCTCCTTCTTCCGCCTTTCCTTAGGTTTTACATCTGAGCTGGCATCATATGATATGCAAAAATGAAAGGTTGCATGCACAAAAGCAAAGCAAAAAAAAACCCAGAGATTTTTTCTTCTTCTTCCCATCAGCAAGTGATGTCCAGCCACGTACCAGGAAGCAGGAGTTACGCACCTCATCTTTGCTCCAGAAGGCACATATTGTAAAATAATGAATGTTCCTCCTTTCCTTAGCTTTTACATCTGAGCTGGCATCATATGATATAAAATATCCCTTTGGTTGATTTAGGTCAGCTGTGTTCCCTCCCAAGATCTTGTCCAACCCCAACTTACGGATGGGGGGTGGGATGTTGGAGGGACAGCGCTGGTGCTGTGCCAGCACTGCTCAGCAGTGCCCAAAACTCTTGGTGTGGCACCAGCACCTTTCCAGCTACCAGTGCAGAGCCAGCACTGGGAGAATGAGTGGGAAAACGAGTCCAGCTCAGCCAGACCCAGAACAAGGTGTGACCTGACAAAGGGGCATCGCCACTGTCCCCTCCCTGTGAGGCTGCAGGATGGGACTGGAGCCCTTGTCCTTGACTGGAGCCCTTATCCTTGACTGGAGCCACATTTGCTTTGTCTGCTGTCTTTTCTCCTGGGCATCACTAATGACACAAGTCCAGTCCCAGGGGCTGGGCTTGAAGGTCATGGGAGTCATTTGCCAGAGGACAACCAAGAGGGAAACCATGGCCTGACATTCTTCCCTTTCTTCTTTTCTTCTCTTTCTTCTCTTTCTTCTCTTTCTTCTCTTTCTTCTCTTTCTTCTCTTTCTTCTCTTTCTTCTCTTTCTTCTTTCTTCTCTTCCTTCCCTTTCTTCTCTTTCTTCCCTTCCATTCCCTCACTACTCATTTCTCTAGGATTTTACTTCTGTTTGACATTTCACCTGGCAACTCCTGTATTTCCCGAGCATCTCAGGGTTGGTTCAGCATGAGGGGTTTTGAGCAAATCCCACCAGGAGCTACCACCCTGCATGATGTTTTCACAGCTGTCTGTCTTTCCCAGGAGTCAAACTTCTCTCTTGTATGTTTTAATTATAAGTTCCTTGCATTGTAATTTCTAGGCATCATCCTCTCTGACAGATATGCCATCACCTTGATTTACCCTAGTGCATCTCTCCTTACAGGGAGGAGGAAATGAGAAAGTAATGGTCGTATTTCAAAACCACCTACAGTGCAGATGGCATAAAATCCTATCTGATAATTATATTTGAAGGTAGAAACTCAAATTAAATCACTTCAGTATTTAGCAATTGACCTACTTCAGACTATACAGCAAGCAGTTTAGCCTAAGGAGGTAGGCAGGCTGCAATATTTCACTTTCTGGGCCCCACACTGTTTAACACTACCACAGCATAATTGAAAACTTGGTCCAAATAAAACAAAAACAAACAAAAACAACAACAACAAAAAAATTAAAAACCCAAACCAAAACAAAACTGAAAACAAACAAACAAAAACCCCAAAAACAACAACAAACAAACAAAAAAAGGGGGAAGAGAAAAAAAAAAAACAAGCAGAAGAAAAATCACCCATAAAAACCCCAGGAAAATGTAGATTTCCTTAATGCAGACTGCTTCATTATTGTCAAAAGCATGAATAAGTATTTATGCCCTGCCCAGTTCCTTAGCCATGGACTCGGAACCCTCATTTTGGCTCAGCTCAGGGCCAAGAGTCCCTGTCTGGGCTGTGCTGGAGCCCCCACAGCCACAGTCCCATCCCTGCTCATGCTGATCCTGCAAGTCTTCTTTTGCCTTTTTCTATCAGCACATGCTCCTGTACAAATATTTAACGCAAAATAGCTATGAAATAATATTGACACAGGTATGATATGACATGATGAGCCCACACAGAAGAACACAAATTGCGGGTGGTGCAATGGGCCCTGGGAGAAATCTCTGTATCTGTAGAGTTTGACCAAAGAAAATGTTCAGGGTCACTCCCAGCCCAGCCCAACACTGGCTGGAACAGCCAAAACAAGGACCTTGGTTCTTGGTTTTCCCTCATTTGCACAGCAGCCCAGCTCACCCTCTGCTTCCTACACCTTCCTTTCTCGTAACTTCATTTGTTGGTTAAGAGAAGTCTTAATGCAAACAGAAGATGCTGTTGAATAGGAGCAATTTCATCCGTATTGCAAAACTAGCAGGGACCAGCAAGCAGCTGCTGCGACAGTTTTGGTGAGCTTATCCTTTAATTTTATCTGGTGTGTGGTGTTTGGTCAGAAACCTGGAGTCAAAAGCTGCACAATCCTATGAAGTGTTTTAGAGAAAGGCTCTGGGGGGCTTTTCCCTGCAATTTTAGTGTCCTTTTACCTCGCCAGGCAGCAAGCTCTGTGACTTCAGGAGACTGGAGGATTATCTGGTTTTTAGTGTTTTTGGAATACCATTAATTTGTTCTGTGGGATTTAGCTGCAAAGTCAGGAAGGAATGTTTATTCTTGAGGTTAATGTGTGCTGCAGGTACCGTAACCAGTAAATAACTATCTGAATAAAGGTAATCTATCTGCATTTAGACATATATTGTGACCAGTTTGGGTGGGGAAGTCTCTCCTTGAAGCTGCAAGGTGAATCTCTGCCTCATTATTTTGTGTCTCTATGTACCCTGGAGGCATGCAGCAAAAGCATGATGTGATGGGAGATTCAGTCAAGCAGGCAGACCTGCCTCTGTGGCCTGCTCTTTCTGCACCCACATAACTGTGTCTGTCCCCCCAGTTTCAGGAAAGTTCCTGTATGACAGGGTTTCACTAAGCTGCTTCTCAGGTTTGTCACATCTCCAAAATCAGGTTAAAATTTTAGAGCTGAAACTCAATTCTTTGTTTTCTCATGGTTTTAGGTCAGCTTCAATAAGAATAGAATTAACACTTGTTATGTAACAAATTATTAGTTCTAGAAAAAAATGCAGAAATTTCACATTCACGAGAATCCTAATATGCAATAAGTAATTTTTGTTTATAATTTCTACATTACATCATATGAAAACCAAATATTCTCAAATTTCTATGATTTATTTGCAACAGTTTTAGAGCGGTCCTAAAGGCTGGGTGTTAATTTTTTTATGAATTTTGGATTTTTACTGCAGCCAGTTGTGAAATTTCTGCAGTTAACAGAGGTGATGGAAAAGCAAGTTGGGACAACAACTGCAGTAAATCTGGTTTTCCAAGGAAGTAATCCAATTTTTAAAGTTACACACACAGCATTGGGTTTTTTTTGTGGGTTTTTTTACATTATTGTATAATGTTGGCTATGACCACTGTCTGTGGGTGTTCCCAGCTATGATCACTGTGTTTGATACTGCAGAATAACCTAATGTCTGTGAGTCTGTGCTAATAGTCCAAAGTTATGTTGTCCCTGCTCAGAAAGGAAGAAGCCAAAACTGCTTGACCTTGCAATTCTGCCCGTTACATTTTAACTTTGGTATGTTGTCTCATGCTCCTTCTCTGGAATTCATTTTTCCATTTCTGCCCCTCTTTCACATATGGATAACAGGGAAGGGAGCAAATTTCTTGGAGGTCATAACAATAAAACAGAACCTTCAAGAGGTCAGGAGCAGATCTGTAGTCCAACTTTCTGCTGGCAGCCTGTCAAACACCATATGAGAGCCACTATGCCTTTGCTTAGGCACCTCTTGAAAATACTTAAGGATGGTAATTCCAAATCCTCTCCGGGTAACCAATTTAAGTGCTTCACTATCTGCCAGTGGAAATTAGTGATGAATATTTCTCAGTCCACTTCTCAATCATGCCAGATGGTGAAAGGAGAGCAATGAACAGAAGTTGTTGTTTGGCAAATTGAGATTAGATAATCTCTAAGTCCCTGGAAGGAATTGCAGGCTGAAATGACAAAACAAGGAGCATCCCCAAAGCTGTTCTGGAAACAAGGAGGCAAAGGAGAGTAGGGAGTAGGAAGCAATTGCACAGATTTTAAAGCAGGAAAAGTTTGGGTTTTTTCCCCACAAACAAGTTAAAAAAGCAAATCCCTGTAATGAATATTCAAAGTAATTAAAGAAGTCCCAGATATACAACTATATTCCTTTAGAATATGCACAATGAAAATTAAATCCAATCCCATAATTATAAACTGTTGATATTTAAACTCTTGG